CGTCTTTTCTCGTCAACTCTGGGCCAACATCGGCCGCACCCAGCATACCCACGTGACCCTCACCCATCCATCTAATCACGCTGATGATGTCACTCAACACTCGGTCATCGCTTCCTCCCACCGCCGCCGCCCCCAGGAATCCAGGGGGGCATCTCGTTCGTCACACCCAGCACCAAACTCGTCAAAACCAAAAGCTCTGCAACCACGAGCTCAAGCGCGCCGACGACGGAATTGAGGCTCATTCCATTCGGCATTCCAGGGTTTTTGTGCCAGTGTAAAGAAATGGTCAAAGTGGATGCCTTTCGCCAAACGTTACTACCCTCGCCCGATTCTTTACGTCGAATGGTGAAGTCTTCGTGGGACGTCTTGACCAAATCCCAGACCGATGGTAAGGTTCCGAAATTTCAAGTAATCACCGGTATGGAACTGATTGGGAGCAGAATCGCTTCGACAATGGGCATTAAGCAAACTAGATAATGGCGAAAAATATCGGCTCTCGAAGCTCGAGCCCGTCTTCGTAGAGATACTCGACGACGTGAAGTTGGTGGTGAGGTCATTTGTATACCACAAGTATGACCTCTGGTTCGACTACAGCGTGTCTTGAACTTTTCGCATATCGCGGAGTGCGCGATACGAGTCCAACGTCTTGTAGAGAATGACCTGTTTTTGGATAGCCAAATATCTGTACTGCCACAGTACTACCCGTGATCATGATTCACTCATACTTCGAGTTGCATTTTGTTAGGTCGAGGGAGTCGTCGTCAACATTGCCTTTGCGAACCCTTGATCCTCGTGACAATGTCATACTTGTTACATGACAGTGAACACCAATATCACCGGTATAGTCGGGATAATCTCAATGTCAAGCCAGTTTTTCGCAATAACGGCTACTTTCTGCCGGTGGGCACTAGAAGAACGCCGCACGGGGAGACACATGGCAAGCGTGTTTATACCTGAAACTAACCGTACTCATCTCGAACGCTATACGCGGATGCTGGAGGCCATGAGCCCATCGCAGCTGGCCGCACTTACAGCACTATTATTCAGTAACGGTTCTGTGCTCACTGGCCCGGTTATACGCACCCGATGATCAATCTACGTACAAGCGGTATCATATCAATTACATACTGGGTATTGTGTCCCTCTAGCTTTTCTAGGAAGTGATGAATTCACCTTGTCCGACTTTAATCATATTAATGGCTCCGGAACTTTGACTGACGAGACAACACAATTATCTCATGTTTAGTTTACAGCACGTAGCACAGCATAAACTTAACTTTTGGATAATTTCGTGCATTTTCAGATTTTCTTGCATTTTACCACGTCGCATCTTTCCGCGCTAGAGCCTCGAGCCTATCCTGTCTACCGAGCACAGTTCTCCGTCTGTGTGGATACGGTCGAGCTCCCAATAATCCTATCCTTAAGTTGGCGTTCAAAATCTTGTGCGTTATTGCAGTCTCTCGACCATTGGAAAGATACAAAGAACAAAGACTAGAAGGAACATGTCTCAATTATGGTCAATCGATTCCAGAACACAAACGTCACTGTATGTCATATAATCTGACTTCACGGCTAGCGTTCAATGACCAGACTTCAGGCCGGGCTCGTGCTCGCAACTACTACTTTATTCCTGTCGTCACCACCTCCTGTGCCGCATTTGATGGCTTATAACTCTCCAATCATTCTGCTGTGCTTGTTATCTATGAAACTAGTACCGCTCACAAAGACATGGAAACCCTCAAGGTGAGTGAGTTTGTTTAAGCTGGCTCACCATTTGACACACAGCACAGCACATGCCACGATACCAAGTCATCGCGCTGCTGCTATGGCTAGCATACCCCTCAATCTGTCTGTCAGTGCCACTTGCTTTTTGTTTGTGGGTAAGTGAGGCGCTAGGCGTGTTTAGATCTACTTATGAGTATGACGTTTCATTTGGTGCAGCTATCTTTATCGCCTGCTTCAGGTCCGACAATGCCATCGTCAATATCATAACTATCTTGGCTTGTGTGGCCTTCCTTTCAAACGGAGCCCTTATGCTCTACGTTTTCGCCATTGTAGGCAGAAAGTAAGCTAGTAGCACTCTTGCTGGTTCTGCCAGTCTCACTATGCCTTGCAGGCCGGCCAATGGTAAAAAAACCACCCCCACACAAGTTATTGACGGGCATCATGCTAGTATAGGTGCTGCATGCCTTCCGCGTTGACAGTCATGACCGGCCGTGATAACTGTTATAGTATGGTTGATTGAAGCATTGGCTGCGCTGCGAGCCAAAGGGGGTGGCTTTAGCACGATCCTGGACAAGACGACAATGTCCACCGTGTGGACAACACATATTTAATGACCTCAATCTACCTGGCAAGGAGTGATGTATGATAGTCATTTTCCGTTTTATATTCACTGAAGGATTTATGAGTTTGCCACCTACAACTTCTACCATTCTATTAGATATTCAGACCAACGTGTATATCAGAACTAGAATCGGTGATTAATTAATACGCTCAAAGTAGCGGGGTGATATCGAGTCTAAATATCCACCTCCAACAGCCATTCCGAGTCAAAGCCGTGGATACTAAGTATAGCATTTAAACTTGTTAAGGTTTGGCACGAAGCTGAAAGTCACCGCATTACTTATGTAACCACTAACAAGAGAACCCTCTACAAGTCGGGAAAGACTTGGTTTACCTTATATAGAATGTCAAGAACTTCCCAAAGCGACTTGGCGCTAGTTGGGCAAAGGGTAATGGCCCACGCTGAACTGTGATGTACTAATGTTTCAAGGTATTCAACTGACCAGTACTAGTATGAGTAGTAAGTCGGGATCCATCATCTTTTACATTTTTGCCACTGACTCAGGCATTAACGTGCGGTAGCATCATGTCATACCCCACAAAACTTGAACCGGTCACTCAGAGTCGCCTGCTCAGCGAAGTCGAGGACTCGCCGAGCCAGACTCCCGGCTGGCACGGTACTGTACAACCCTGTGACGGCATAGTCATTGCCATGACGGATTACTACTACTAAGTCTTATTAGGCAATCACTCTTCGTTCGGCGAGTTGCATCACGACAGCCAGACTGAAATGATATAAAGACTGGGTAGCTAAGAGCAAAGTAAGTCTAATTGTATCATTGGTTCGTGATGCACAGCGACACTCAGAGCCCCGCCTGTTATACTAGAACTCATGATCGTGATAATCAGGAGATTCTTTCACGCAATATCAATAATATCATAGATTCCATCCCATCAACTCGCCGACGCACCCGTCTTCAAACTACAGCATATCTTCTTGGTGCCCGTAAAGAACTGCCCGAAGTCACTGGCGAAGAGGTCAATCACATCCGCGCCGTTCAGTTGTGCTATTCATCAGAAGCTCAGGCTAGCTATACAGAAGAAAGACCCGAGCAGCCTCAAGCTTTCGAGAAAGGTAATTTTGATGATCGTCTTGAGTAACTTATGCGAGATACTCACGTCTCACTAGTCGAGTTTTCGCATTCCTTTGAATACCATGGACAAGGACAAATCTACAACGTATGTAGACAACTTCTATGCCGAGTCAGACCATCCACTAGATATACTCGACTCCACGAGGGCCGCAATGAATCTTTCGAAGAAGTACGAGCACTTGGGTTGGCGTCTGTCTACAGCCCGCCGCATGGACCCACCACATCGCCTTTTGACTTCCCAGGACATCGCTAGCGCTTTCAAGGCTGTGAGGGCGGAGCAGGTGTCTGGACGGAAAAAGAAGAAGGTTGTGATTGAAATCGTCAACACTGTAAGTTCTTTTTTGACTCAATCGTGACACGACAGCTCAATAACTTCTTGCGGTAGATGTCGGTACCAAAAGGAAACAAATCAAATCACAGGCAGGTATTGTGTCCGATCCATCCCTTCTATACGTGAAGGAACTCGAGAATGTGAAGAGAAGATTATGTTGCGCTGAGCATCAGCTCGGAGGTTCAGAGAACACATTTTGTTGGGTAGATGTGTCGCAGCCAGACGCTCCACACTATCCGATATGTACCCAAGACCTCCAGGAGTGGGCTAAACATCTGGTATGTGCACGTTTATATGCCTCTAAGCCTACTATTCATTCATCTGAATCATTTAGTACGACACTCGAGATCCGGATAGCACCTGTGCTACTCTACCCAACACGCCTTATTTCGATGACATTCGCAAGACACGTCAGGCAAGAACTGCGTCACCGCTTCAATGTATCCCAACCGAGCTCATATCACCCATTATCCATAATCATGTTCACCTCTCATCTGCCATCGACAACACGTGGGCTTCTAATGATGCGCATTCTGTACAGCAACTTGAAAGTCAGGGCCCTATGGCCGCTCCGCAACCACTTAAAAGGACATTTGCACTCTACATGGAGAGTGATGAAGAAAGTGACGATGAAGAACCGCCGAAAGACATTGACGACGTCATCACAACCATCCATTCTCGCTACCCTGCTATGGACTTCCCTCGGTATGGAGATATGCTGAAGGAGCGCGGCATATTGTATCTGCCGACTGCAGCGCATTTTGGTAGCCGATTTTATGTGGAGAAGGTTGGTATGTCGGAGGGTGCTGCGGTCACATTTCATACTCGTGTTTGTGAAGCTCACATGAAGGAGGAACGTGCGAGAGCACGGAGGAAGGCTAAAGGCAAACAGAAGGCACGAGCTGATGACACTGATAAGGAAAATATCCAAGCTCTCGAATAGTGTGTCACATTTACTGTCTACTATTTCTACAAGTAGTATGATCTTATACCTACTTTTAATTGCTAGCGTGATCCCTGGCCAAATCTAACATTACCTACTAGTATACAACGTTGAACATGTTAACTGGAAATCGGTGGCTGATATTACTATGAAAGCAATTTGATTTCCGCGGCATCTGAAACACAAAGATATGGTACAGTGATACCGTACTGGGAAGTTTTGTTGATACCCAATATGTCACTAACATTTTCTCTGTGTGAACTTATGATCCAGGCAGTGGTGCTGACATAGTTAGGTTGGGCTGCCAGCTTACGGTCGTTGAAACTCCGACTCTCACACACCAATGACACCAGTTGATATCTTCTGAGTCCGGAAGTCAAGCTAGAGGCCCCTCCGAGACCGTGACAAGCACACTAACATGTCCTCCTCCCCTGTTATTTCTGCACCTCCTCCAGTTGGAGTCTCTAGTCCCGTTCATTTCGAGAAAGTGTTGGGGGTGCCTGCTGATATTTTCGCCAAGCGATCTATCCAGGATCATGATGACGCTCCTCATGTCACCAAGCGCCCTTACTATGACAATGATCATAGTCGGATAATGGGCCCCATAAACCCCAATCAATCATCATTTGAAGAATCTTGTAGTGGTGGCCAACGCTGTGCCACCCAATCACTTCCAAAGGGCCTCCCCCCGTAACACGCCATATGTCGTCTTATGCAAAGCGCGCTAGCCTCAAATTCAGGCCCTATCAACTAGGAGGGCATGTCCCTACTGCTCTGGAACACCGTTTCATGACGAAGAATCTTCTGAAGCGCAACGAGGTTGATCTTAGCCTGGTAGATGTTCATCAGGTATTCAAGCATTATCTACTAGTCACAGGTCATGTCACATTGACAAGCATTGTACCAGGGCAAAGAGATCTTCAAAGAAAGCATGAAGGCTATGCCTGATGACACTGTCTATACAGCTGTCATCGCAAAGCGAAGCTGACGTCGAAAGCAAGCGTTTACGGGCTCTCGCCGCAGCTTGGGAGCTCGAATCAGCCGAGAAACACGCAGTACTTCTTCAAGCCATTTTCAAGAATTATGCTAAACAATATGCTGAAAGCATGATAGAGGCTTCCTATTTCGAAAGGGTTTTAGTCAAACGTTCCTTGCAGCAGCTTGAAGATGACGCAGACTTCACTGTGACTACGTACAGTCATGATTTCGCTGCCTATCAAGTTGCAGACTTGCAACTTGATTATCTGGAGGAGATATGTGCTGAGCGGAAGTTGCCTCTGGAGGACGATGATTCGGAAGATGCTGAAGATCGCTTGAAAGCGTGCGTGGACAGCATACTTGCAGAGTCGAAGATGGAAAATACCAGTACCATGACCTTGGGCCATCCGAGTCGAAGGTAGGGTGATTTGTCATATCTTTTACAAATACTGATTGCGTTGCACACAGCGCACTTTAATAATATCAATATCAACAATGATCAATTTGTAGTGCTACTGTCACTAGTATTCCGACATGATATGTATAACACGACTTTCCCCAGCTGGTACTACGAAGGAGATTTGGACTACTACTAGTAGTTAACGTTGACTACTAAGCACCGTTACCGTGGTATTGACCAGGATGTCAAGTACCAGTGTTTCTTGAGCATGTACTACCATCAGTAAACCAGTGAGTTCTTGCTGGGGATTATGCTGATTATGGTGCTTTTACATGGTCATATATTGCTTTATATCACTTTATATTACAATGTGACGAAAAACTTTCCTATATATTACAATATATTACGATATATGACGATATCTTCTTCTCACAGGTTCTCTGATGCACAGGCAGAACCGTGACTGTATGAACGATGATGTACTAGTAGTTCAAGTCAGTGAACCTCAGATGAGTACTCTGAGTCTTCGATATTGTCACTATGATGTTTATGTTAGGTGACTGCAGCCGCATGACCTTGCTCCGCACAAAATAACCCACGTGTTTCAAACCGTTACTGTCAACCTACCAAAGTCTGCAGAGAGCGGCATACTTCAGCGCCCACTGCTAAAAGTACAGGTCGTCGTCAACATCAGCCACATCGTCGACGACTCCCTGGGTAGCTTTCAGACCTCAAGCCTGAGATAACTTCAATTCACAGCCTGCGCCAGATGCTCTTCTCTTCATATGATGATTGCCTTTGCTTATCGTGCTTTCCACTTTACTTTTCATTCTCCTCATCTTTCTAGTATTTTTTATATCATTCATTCGAAGACGACGTGGTATTGTCTTGCGAGACAGTGATGGACCTACCGACATGAGTCGAGAGGAGCTTATAGACGGGGAAGGAGGCTTTGAAGGTGTGGAGTCTCGCTGGCTCGAGAGTGTTTCTGAAAATGTTCGACGTTATCACATTATCTCAATTCCTTTCTATCCAGGAGAAGGGTGTCTCAGCATGGTCCTTTGAGCCAGACTACGAAACTATTAATTCACCTTTGGTTCATGCTCGCATGGAAATCACTTTCCTTCCCGATCCTGCATCCGCCTCGCGCGTGCAGTCAAATTTACCCCTACCCAAATTGAACGAGGTCTACTATTGGGAAATCAAGATGTTTGATCTTCCCGAAACTACTACAGTTGCCGTTGGACTGGCCACCAAACCCTACCCACCTTTCCGACTTCCAGGTTTAAACCCTTTCTCCGTCGCTTACCACTCCAACGGTGGCAAGTGTTACAATTATCCCTTCACTGCATCACCATTCGGTCCTCTACTCAAAGGGGATGTTCCTGGCATTGATTATCGTCCTCGCCCAAAAACCTCTGAACTCTACAATGAATTCTACTCATCCTCCCGTACTAGTCATAAGTGAACCGCATATTAATGGATGGTTGCCCCTCAGCTTAGTTCCTCTTTCTTAGGTAGGCACTGGGCCAGCAGGTCTGGTAGTAGCGTTAATGCTCCTCCAGAACGGTATACCAGTTCGTATCATTGACAAAGACCCTAACCCTCGAATCGGACAGCGTGGTCCTGGAATCTGGGTGTGTCATGCCAATACTTCTCTAATTTCCTATAGTCTCATTTAATACATAATCCAGCCACGCTCCTTCGAACTCTTCAACTTCCTGAATGTCCCAGAAGTCAACTAAACCCATCCTCACAATCCGTTCCTACAAGCACAGGACAATGGAATTTGTGACAGAATCTTTGGTGACCTGGCATGTGGAACCTACCCCTACGATACCATTCGTGCGTACTATACAGAACCATCTCTCGAGCAGTCATGCTGATGATTTGCTCCTATTGTAGCACGTTCCAAAGCTGATAGGTCAGCAACTCCTAGATGTGATTCTGCGACGTCACCTAGAGAAATTTTCGTGCTCTGTCGAGATGGGCACAGAACTGCGTTCGTTCGAGCAGTCTGGTGAAGGTGTCACGACTGTTCTAGCAAAGAACGGCATATTGGAGACTTTCGATACCAAGTGGATGGTCGGCGCTGATGGTGCTAAAGGTGAGTTGCGATCAAATTCGAATGCTGGAGGATAAGTCTGAGTTATGGTTTGCAGGCGTCGTGCGCATACAGCTTGGGCTTACATTCTTGGGCGAGACTAGAGATGATATCCGAATGGTCATGGGAGATATTCGTTTACATGGTGTTGGTCTTGACAGAGCGGTGCGTCCAACTTCTACTTGCTCCATGAAGGAGTGCTCCTGATACGGTCTTGAAAGTATTGGCACCGGTTTGGGACCATTAAGCGAGGGTATGTTCGGTTTCTGCTCTTGCCAGCGAGGCTTGTATGTTGACGATGTACAGCGTCACATTACGTTCAACAGATGAAATTGGCGAAGATGGCTGGCAATTTGTCATTGCTGATAATGATCTAGACCTCTCATGTTCAACTCCCTCACAGATGAGATTGGTGTACCTGCTGTGCTTTGGAGTACGTCGTTGATTGATCAATGTGTGCTAGCAACTCAATTTTTTTTCCTGCAGTTTTCTTCGGCTATTCAATTCTTGGTACCGGTACTGTACTGAAAACCATAGTTTCATTCTGCGACAGTGACTGACAAGTTCATTTGCAGCTCGTGCTTCCCTTTTACCTGAGGTCGCTGGTCGGACCCGATGTGATCCTCGAAGAGGAGCTGACTGGAGCAGCAGTAAGTGCAACGCGATTGATTATTCCTCTTGGACAGCCGTTCAGCGCACTCCTACTGGCGCAGTATGGCGAAGAATACATGAGGATAGCATCTGATGATGATATCATTGCACAAGTCCGACGTATGATGGACATGTCAGGACCCTTCAGATATTGTAGCTGTATCATTTTTGGAAGCTCTTATTAGTCTTCTTTCCTTCATTTGTTTACGGTGTCTGTCGCGAGCTCTTCCACATGGATGAATTGACGAAAATTTTAATGCGAGACACTGATTGTGACATGTCTCAGCGTTGTGGAGAACTGGCGCGGGCAATGCCCGACTTGGAAATATCCGAGTCAATGTCCGACTTCAAATCAAACTATAGTTTTTTTTTTCGTTGGTGACAACTTAGTACCTGCCTATGGGTGTTTGACTCGGAGTCCGTCTTCATCATAGTTCCATCACTGGCACGGTCACGGTTGTAGTGGAATGCGTCTATCTCGATCGCCTTGGGTTCTGTTCATTATCTTTATTCTCTCAATGGTCACGGTGTCATGTGGTGCCTCACGTTGCTCTTGGGAGAAGGACACAGACTTTCGCGGACTTAGTAGACATCGTTCTACATGCAAACATTACCAGAAGGCCAGCGTGTTAGCCTCGCAGAAAAGGAGGGACCGGGCAAATGAGTTGATCAAAGTATTGCAAAGGCTCACTACAGCTACTACTCCCGTACGTCTCGAAGCCATGATCACTCCACCGAATCCGAGTCTGGGTTCAACCCTTGAGTCGGACTCAATTCTCATAACTTGAAATCGGCTGATTATTATGATAACCCGCAGCTACGACCAATCGTATTTACAATGATGAATCGCTCGAAACCTATAGCTAGATGCGGACCCAGGACATTCTGCACATCACCCCAAGTTGAGTCCGGTATCAACTCAAAGGCTAGTGACAGCACCCCTCGTACCACTGTGTCTCAACTTCTGTATTCTAGGAATTGGATACTTTCGATGTTACAATGTCAACGGAAGATGCTTGTGATATCACTGCGGTGCCTGAGCATGGCCAGAATGATCTAGGTGTGCATTTGCGCAGAATCCTGGACCTATGACATACTAATGGTTGCTTCACTCGTGGATCATCAGCGGACTCTGGTCAACATCCTTCTCAACTGCACGTCTAGGCCAGCCCCGAGAAATTTTGTCGATATTCTGCCTGCCGATGAAGATATCAACCTTTCAGATTCCCCTGGGGATTATCCGTCTCGTGTGACCGAAACTCACAATTCGCCGCCCCGCAGAATTCTACGAGTCTTATTGACGCTGCGTGATTCTCTTCAAACAGCATTCAACGTTATCGGACTTTGTCGACAATATCCTAGGCGCCCCTCATTCGAACCCGATAATTACGTCCCATCTACGCTGCTAGCTGATTCCTGTCCAATGACTATTGGCACAGATATTCAAGGGCCCGATTCATCTTCTAGAGTCTCTGTACCACCTCATCCTTTTTCCAATATGACAGTCTATCGTCTGATGACATGGATGAATTCCGGCAGTCATCAAAAATCTGAGGCCGAAATCACGCGTCTTGTTAAAGATGTTATTCAAGCGAGAGACTTCAACCCCAAGGACCTGGATGGATTTTCGGTAAAGAGAAGTCTGCGTGCATTGGATAATAATGGAAAAAAGGGGCCTGTTATTTTTCCAGATGACTGGTTAGAGAAGGACGTCGCGCTTGACATACCTTCCAAATCAAAAGACGACCAGGCCAGATCATTAAACATTTCGGGATTTCACTACCGGCCGCTTATATCAGTGATCCGTTCCGCGTTCGCTGACATTCAAGCCAGCGTGTTCCATCTTTTCCCCTTCAAGCGTCTATGGAAGGATCCGCTGGACGGTCATCAAGAACGTGTATTTGATGAGCTATATACCTCCGACTCCTGGTTAGAAGCTCAGGAAGACCTGTATAAACAGCCGAAAGAACCTGGCTGCTCACTCGAACGCGTTATCGCTGGACTGATGTTTTTTTCGGACACAACTCATTTAGCCACCTTCGGAACGGCCAAGGCTTGGCCTCTTTATCTGTATTTCGGAAATTTAACTAAGTATGCACGCTCGGCACCCAAATCTGGCGCATGCCATCTTGTGGGATTCTTACCTTCTGTAGGTCATCTGCCTTCCATACTGTATATCTCTCTCACAGTAGATTTTTTAGCTTCCGGATAATATAAAGGACGTCTTCAGCAGCTTGCCGCGTATATCAAAAAGCGGCATGGCAGCCCTTCATGTGCATTGTCGGCGAGATCTATTCCATGCATGTTGGAAACATCTGTTAGACGCGGAATTCCTTCATGCATACCGTCACGGAATCGTGCTCCGGTGTCCAGATGGAATATTTAGAAGGGTATTTCCGCGCATATTTACTTACTCGGCTGATTATCCAGAAAAGTACACATTTTCGTTGAAGTACTGATCAATATCTTAGGGTTCTTATAGCGACAATCAAGGATATGGGTGCTTGCCCATGTCCGTGCTGTCTCATGCCGAAAGTCTCGTTCGATTTCCTTGGTTTGTGGAAAGACATGCAAGATCGCGTCACTACCCTCAGGACCTACTGTTTGGAAAGGATAATTCAGGCCCGCGGATTCATCTATGGAGGAAATACTGTGAATGGGTCTAAGGTGCAGGCGACTGTTGGAGGAGGCTCGTGGGTGCCGACTGTAGTGAGTGCCTTGCAAATCATTCCCCTTATGATCAGTACCTACTTTGAAACTAGAACGCATTTGTAGAAAGGCTTGCACCACTCGGATTCGACACTTTCCGCATGCTTGTGGTCGATTTTATGCATGAATGCGAGTTAGGTACATGGAAGGCGCTGTTTACGCACCTCATCCGTCTACTTTACGCGCTCCCCGGCGGTGATCACCTAGTTGCAAGTCTTGACTATAGGTTTGTCACACTATTCTCTTTACTGAATTGAAAATAATCGCCTTCAACACAGATTTCGCCACATCCCATCGTATGGTAACGGTGTCACCAGGAAATTTTCGGATAACACCTCGGAAATGAAACGCCTCGCAGCACGGGACTTCGAGGACATTCTGCAGGTACGTATTGGTGGCTCAGTCGATGTTGTGTGTTAGTGACATTCTATCTCAGTGTGCGATGCCGGTCTTCGAGGGGCTTTTTCCAGCAGAGCACGATGCTATTGTACAATTACTTTTATACAGATTTGCTCAATGGCACGCTCTCGCCAAACTAAGGATGCATTCTGATGCGACTCTGTCAGTACTCGAGAGGACATTCCAGAGGCTGTCCCGTCAGTTGCGTAAGTTCTGGGATTTCACATGTGCTGCTTTCTCTACCGTGGAGCTACCGAAAGAAAGGGCTGCGCGCGAAGGCTCAAGTTCCGACAACGCGGGTGCTGGAAGTGGCGGCAGAAAGGTCAAAAAATTTAATTTGAACACTTACAAATTTCATGCCATGGGGGATTATCTGCGATCGATCCGGCTCTTTGGAACGATCGACTCCTTTACATCGCAAATTGTATGTGCATCTCCGAGTCTGACACAACGTCCCATCTCATTTTGATGTCTGTCCAGGGAGAGTTAGCGCATCGAGCACTGAAAGCATTCTATCCCTTGACCAATAAATTAGATACCCCGGCTGAACTCGCTAAGCACGAGCGCCGTTGACGAATCCTTCGGCGAGTGGCAGAAGCAGAACGTAGTCCATGTGCTTTGGAACAGCAACCAGTCAACTTGCCTGCAGGGATCAACATGAAGGATCATCACTATATACCGACGCTAAGCTGCAACAATCCCATAGATATATTTCATTTTCTTCGAGATCATGACAATGATCCAGCTGTAGCAGTATGTGTTACTTTCCTCACCGTTCTCCTAACTCACGATATTATACAGGCGTTCATACCGAAACTCAAAGACCACGTACTATACCGACTTCGAAACTTAGACATCACCTATTGTGACCATACCTTCTCCGACGATGAACATAATTCAGTTATCATCTCAGACAATAGGCTATACTCCGTCCAAACGATGCAGGTATGTCACACAGATCTCAAGTTTTGCTAGCATTGTAATACTTTAATTGATAGGTTCATTACACGACTTATGATCTTCGGCGAGAGTATGATACCGTCAATATTCGGACACACCCCGATGTTATGGTTTTATCTGGGGAAACAAGGCCCCGACATCCATACTGGTATGCCCGCGTTCTGGGCATCTACCACATGGATGTGTGGCTCAATAGCGAAGGTCCGATCAAAAGGCGTCAAATTGAGCTTCTTTATGTCAGATGGTTGGCGCCATTGACCAACCACCCGTCAGGGATGAGCTGTGCTCGACTTCCGAAGATCGCTTTCGTCGAAGAGTCTGACCGCGATGCATTTGGGTTTCTCGACCCCGGTCAAGTCATCCGAAGTGCCCATTTGATTCCAGCTTTTTCTTCTAATCGCGGAACTACATCCCTTCGCTATGGAAAGTCCTTCGGACGTCAATTTGGTGAATTGGACGACTGGGAGGGATACTATGTTGGCATGTAAGTGTAATAATTCATCTTGTTGTCCTTACTCAACTGTTGATGATCACTCAGATTCGTCGACCGAGACATGTTCGTGTGATACAGGCACTATGGAATTGGACATCCTACCGTCCTACGGGAGATCACAAGAGACTGTGCCGAAGTGGAGCTTGCGGATACCCCGGAATCAGAGGAGGATAATGACGATGACGACTTGGAGAGTGAAATTCAACCCGAGGGCGATGATGGAGGGGAGGAAGAAGGCTATGACAGCGAAGAAGAAGATGAAGACATGGACGCACAGGAGAATGACGGAGAGATGGAAGACAGTGAAGACAAGAACGAGAACAGGAATGAGTATGAGTATGAGTATGAGGAAGACCGTGACGGCCTATCTTTCTGACTCATTCAGCCTGTAGCTCAGCCTTACTAGCAGTACTTGAATGTCTAAGTCTATTGACCGATATTGCCCATATCGAGTCGCAACTTCGAGTCGAATGTATATCGTGGCCTGAGTGTAACTAACCAATCATCATATTGTCTCAAGTGCATCATGATGCCGCTGACTCGTGAGATCAACACTTGATAATGGAGGAAAATAACAATCAACACTGCCGGGAGTACAATACATACTGCGATGGTGACAGGTCGCAATTTTGTTAGGAATTGTAGTGCTATTCTAGATTAGTTGACAAACGCAAAAGGCTCTTCCTATGGGAAGATGTTAAATAGTAGTTTGATCCAATGTATAGACGGCAGAAAAGGAGAGTCACAAAACAGGTTGAGAGGTGTGCGCTGTCATCCCTTGTTAATCTTCACGGCCACAAGTCAGGACATTGTTACAAAATCTAGTGCTATTCTAGATTAGTTGACAAGTGCCAAAGGTACTTCCCACGAGAATGTCGTGGATGAAGTTGTAGTGTAAAGCGGAAGTAAGGCAAAATGACAATGGCCAAAATATTTGGCGTAAGTAGGCTTATCACCCTGGTCAGCTGCAATGGAAGAACATCATAACCTTGTTGTGCACTGCTCATCTTACTCTAGATCTCCGGGCTATATAGCGGCAAATCAGATTTCTTATGGTATACATGAAAATATTTAGCAGCGGCAGAGTTCTACCCCTCTACAATTCGCACGGGTACAATATCAAGGACTCATCAGTTTACTGATGGAAATGAAGTTTCTGGCATGATAATTTCTCTGCGCGAACAAGGGGCCAGTGATATCGATAAACTGTGCACGAGACCTCGATTATTGGCAACTCTCGCGATTCTGGTTCATGTCGTCTGTGCAGCATGTCAAAGACATAGTACATGTTGTGAGTTTCTCAGGCTGAACAGCAAGTCATCAGTGAATTGATGAGTCCTCGATATTGTAGCCGTGGGAAGTATAGCACGATGTAATTCTGCTGCCGCCAAATATTAGCTTATATACTGCGAACAATTTGAGTTGCACATATATACTCATGTATGCTTGTAAATCCAGCTTAACATGAATGATTTATAACAATCCTAGTACATTCCACCTTTGCAGCCAATGAGTAGTGGTAGTATACCTGAGCCAATTGTTTTGAGCTTCGACATCTTACCTGATCTTGTTTTTTAATTACAATGTTATTTAAGGCCTTTTGATGGAAAGAGCCTCGGGCATTTGTCGACAAATATAAAATACCATTAGATTTAGTCACAAAGCTATGACATTCCTCCTTTTCAGATAATGAGGGGTGGTAGTAGACTTATCCCAATTATTTCGTGCATTGTCGTTTGGCCCTATTTATTTATCCCATTACAATGCTATTCAAGCCCTTCTCGTGAGAAGATACCTTTAGCGGACAACTTTTGAAACTGGCTGTACCGCTTCCAGTGGCCTCCGCTTTCAATAAGACTACATTAAGTATTTTCAAAACAATGCTTTACATGTTTCTGATTGCTGCTTATTGCAAATGTGAAAGTACAGCGGCGCTCTACAAGGCATCAGTGGGATCAATTGTGCTACAGCGCTGGAAATATCCTAAGTCCAACATTTGTATATGTTTGTTCATGTGACGGTGCGCTCACAAAAGTTCAACTTGAACTTTTCTTCCCGCTCTCACTCGCTCTCACTCATCGCTACTCTCACTTGCCACTTTGGCCGACGATGATGGTGCGATGACAACGACGATGACCTGACAGCAACAACCCAACAACATCAACATGACGACGACGATACGACGACAATGACGACGATACGACGACAATGACGACGATACGACGACGACGACAATGACAATGACGACGACACGACAACAACAATGACGATATGACGACGACGACGCGACGCAATGCGACGACGACGACACGATGCGATGACAATGCAATGCGATGACAATGACGACGCGATGCGACAATGACGAGACGACAACGACGACGCGATGCGACGAGATGACGATGACACGACGACGACGCGACGACATGATGCGATGCGACGAGACGATGATGACGATGACACAACAACACAACAATGACGACACAACGATGATGACGACGGATACAACGATGACACAACGACGACAATACAACGACGACACAACAACATATCTCTCACTCGCTCTCATCTATAATAGATAGATAGATGTTCGCTGTTTATGTCAGATTTAAAATTTAATGGAATTTGCTTGATATCATTTAATTGAATTGGAAAAGCTGCCTGAAAATAATGTGCTAGTATTGTCGTGAATTGAGATCCTATTTACGAAAATTTGAAAGGGATTAAAATAATTGAACAGATTGCCAAATCGTCAAATTCTTGCAGATTTGTGCAAGTTGGATCGCATTTCATCCAATTTGAGAAGGAGGTTTTTCCTGAGTAGCTTTGACATCGGAAGCAGATATAAGAAAATGAAAAACGCTTCTTTCCTCTACAAGGTCAAACATGATAATGTAATGACCGATGGCAGAATTATGCTGATGTGTGCGATTGTGTACTATATATTGTGATATATGGCTTTCTACTTTCTTCACCGGTTCACTGATACGCCACATGCTGTACGGTGGTTCGCACTTTCCAAATGCTGGAAAGTTTTGTTGGGACAAGGCTGCTGGTTTCGGTTCAGATATCCAGGGGTGTACAGACAAATTCTTCCAGCATGCCAAGGAATTCTGTCCCTCTGACAAGATGGCAGAATTGAGGGAGTCTGTGGATAGCGTCGCCAGCACAGCCACGACACTGTATCAAGTCGTCAAAGAAACCGCAGAACAATGTGGCATTCCTCTCTACACTATATCAAATAACCTTGTAAACACCTTCAGTGTCCTATTTGAAGAGCTCAAAGAACAGTTTCCACCACCTGGTGAAGCTTCTGGTCATGAGAAGCGCATGACCATGATGAACATCAGGGAAAACCTCCCACGGGAATTTTGAAAATGTGACAACAATTCTCGAGAATTATGGCAAACTTTCATCAAATTTTTGTAAAAGCTTGTAAATAGTTGATAAATAGTCACATCCATAACGCAGTCAGTGAATGCACTGAAAAAGATATCTACAGGGCTCTAGTTGAACCTGCCATGAGATATGTAACTAATTACTAGTATATCAAAAATGTAGAGTTCACGCAATGCAGAACGGGGATATATTTAAACAGGTGGGAGGGAGAATTCGGAGGTGTCTGCTGCTGGCTACATAGAGCTCGCTCGAAGGGCCTTAGCCTCAGCGACAACAAGTAAATTGAGAAATTGAAAATCGAACCACCAACGATTTAATTACTAATCACAGGGCTCCCACGGTTGATTTCAATGAACTCATTCAAATATTCATGTTTCACTCTGCAACTTACACGAGCCGCGGCAACCACTTGCACACCCTGTCACGTCGTTTTCTTTATGTTTTCATTCTCCCTTACGGTTACTGTTGGGGACTCTAGGTGAGAGGCATCACCACCACAGAGCTAAGTCTCGCTCCGAGCGGGCGTCTGAATTCTGTTGTCGCATTCATCTGTGCGTGGTCATTCAAACCAGGTGTCTATGTAGGATTCCTTTTTTTCTCTTCTTTTTGGCGGTCCAACCAGCCTTCCTGATCTCTCCCAGCTACAGGCTCAATTTGGAGCATACACATAGCTCAAAACTGCATTCTGAGGGTGAGTCATGTAGTTGAATCCTGGTTTCACATCAGTAAATTCCCACATTTCTTAACTTCCTTTTTCGAGACTTGCCGCCGGTCAAAATCCCAAAAAGGAGCGGAAAAGTCACTCGCAAAAATGGCGACACCCACTTGCCATCCACTTGCCACAAGGCATATAAGTTGGATAAGTAGATGCCTCCTCTTGAATTTTACTTTTCTACCTTTATTTTCGCTTTTTGAGCAATTATTTTCAATTATTCCTACAATACAAGCAGTGCAAGTCGTGCAAGTAGTGTAAATTGTAGCAACTTATTTCACTTATTTCACTTATTGTGCACTTGTTCAAGACAAAAATAACCGTATATCATTGCATTTGTATATTAAGCGAGACAAAAAGGAGAGAAAGCAATATGAAAGTACTGGTAAGTAGCGAAAACGAGACATTTAACATGCGCGCGGCGGGCAACAGTGAACAAACAAGCAGGGAACAGCGATGATGAATGACGAGAGGAAGGGGCAGTACAACTCTATAAAACAGAAAGTAGCACCGAAATCCGTCAGTTGGGACACTAGAAAGTGACAGAAAAGGACAGTACCAGGTATCAAAGATGAGTGCGCGCTCATCCTCAGAATCTTCTTCCACAGTGGGGGGCGCACCACGCCTCCTCGCAGCGATCTCCTTCGTGCGGCCCCAGACGTCCTGGAGGATCGACTCGTCGAGGCGATTGATGGACTTCATATAGCCCCTGGTTGCCGCACCAAAGTTGGTGTCGGAAAAGGCCTTTCGAGAGTTGCTGATCTTGCCTGAGGCTTTGTTCATACTGTGGGGGACTTTGACAGCATTGCCTTTACTGTTGACCTCCAGTTCACTGATGAGCGTCTTGTCACGGCCGATAATCTTGAGGGCGCGTTCCATCTGATAAATACGTCAGTCACGATATGATGAGGGGGTAAATGTACATGCCGCCGCAGTGGCGAGGCTAAGAGCGCCCTTCGCATGCGTGACCTTCCTGTGGCTCTCAATGGCGCCCCAGGTAGCACACCTGTGCTGTACGAGGACTTGAACAAGGAGTTCCGACTGAAAGGGTTTCTTGAATTGTCCGTCCTCCGTGATGCTACCATATAAGAACCCTAGTTTGAAAAGTAAGTTGTTTGCGAAATCTTCGCGGTCTTGGTCGGTCTGGACATCATCCTGTAATGACATGAAGTGTGTGAGTGCGGTGACAGCGGTAGTGCCCATGCCATTGCGCCATTCTGATAGCCGCTGGGTGGCCTAAGAAGAAACAAGAACGATCAGATACGAATTGCATCAAAGATCACTTACTAATGCCATGACAGGCCCATCAGTAGTCACCTTGTGCGGTATGTCCTTGTACACCGCGTCCCAGGTGTCCTGCACAGTAGTGCAGAGAACTGCCTCCAACTTGGGAAGAGCCCAAGCCCAGACCTCATCTTGATCTCCGATCGCAAAAATGAGAGTGGGGATGAATACTGCACTTCATCTAGCCACTGCCCGAGCACCTCCAGGAAGGTTCTTGATCCTGTAAGCAGAACGGGGGAGAATCTCCACCTCGACAGAGTTCGACACGGCGCCAGAAGTAGCACTCGAGATACTGGAAAGACTGCGAGTATGTGTGACGGAAGACTTTGTCCGCTTAGCCGCAGGAGCTTTGTGCTTGACGCCAACATTAGTCTACATGATTCGTAGTTAGTATGATTTGAATATTAATAACCGAAGCTTACTACCGCAGATGTGACCCGCAAGGACACTGGTTCAGATTCGGTCTTGACCACCACAGGTTTGCTGTGCCCCACAAATTCAACATCGGATGAAGGTGTATCTTCCTCGATGACGAAGTCATCATCGACCATGAAGTTGTCCCCAATCTGGTCGTCCTCGATCACGTCGTCCTCGATCACGTCGTCCTCGAGCAAGTCGTCCTCAGGCAGGGCATCCTCAATCGCGTCATCATCGGTCAGGCCATCCTCCATATCTGCGAGTTTGCGCTTGACACTCGTCGCCAGAATGGTAGAGTGGGATGTTGAAGTTCGAGCGAGAGCTGCAGCTCGACGGATATCAGCATCGTAATATCCTCGGGGGACCTGTGTAGAAGGAGGAGGCTCGAGATCAGATTCCATGTCAGTGTCGGATCCATAGTTAACGAGGGAAGCTACTACTGGGGGGGTCGCCTCAACATTCATTTCATCGTCGGAAACGTCAGGCTGAATTGCGTTGATCTGTCGAGGAGTCAAATTGGCATTGCGATGGGATTGATTTGTTCGTACTGAAGTATCAGGGACCTTAGAATAAATCTTGACGCCCTGGTGATGCGGTTAATACATAAGAAAGAACTAGATAATTAAACTCACCTGAGCAGCTATTGGTTTGGACATACGGGCAAGGGCTTGAGAGCGCTCAACTGATTCAGCCAGATCATCGTCTGCAAACAGGGTCGTAAAACGATCTGCCACGTTGTCAGCCCCAGCATCGGCGATAGTATTGATGGGCGTGAGTGGGGCACCACCGCTACTGATAGTACTCCCCATGGTAAGTTTGGAAGAGGGAGCAGTACTGGAGAAGTCGGAAGGCATCGTAGATGGTCTTTTCCTCAATGCGTTGGAGGATGGCTTAGAACCAACACTGGCAGCGGGAACTTCCGTCCTCCAACCCGGGATACGCTGGACAGCAAAACCAAATTTTTGAGGACCTGATGTAGTGCTATCATCATCATGCACCATTAAATTGAAGAAGAAAAGAGCCGTTTCAGTGAGATGGTGCAACATAGTTGAGAAGCAAACGTCTTACACATCAGCAGACTTCTTATCGTCATCACGTGCCATCGTTGATTCATCGATAAGACCCGCTGCTTCGATTGCATCTCTTACTGGCGTCTTCACTGGTAACACTTTCCTCTTCTCCTTCTTCTTGCGTGACCCCGGCACTCGCACCTCTTCCTCTGCATCACTCCCAGGATGGTCGACGTTAGCACCGGCTGCTAATTTACCTCTAGCCCCACCACCCTTGCCATTAGCGCTAACGGCCTTATCTTCGGCCATAGTCAAGTTGGAGGTCTCCATGACTTTTACAGCCTTTTTTACGGGGCGTGGGCGTGGGCGGGGACGAGTAGGCTTTGGCGCATCAACACGTGCGGCTGCTTGGTCTGTCTCCATTTTTTTCTGAAATACAGCAATGCGGTTATGTCCTTCATGAACAGCCATTTCACTTGCCCTCTTTTCCTCCTCTACACGCTGATCGTCAGCGGCCTTTTGAGCTTTGGTACGTCTCTTTGTGTGGCCTTCGCCCCCGGTCAGGATATATCCTGGGTGCTGAGTTGCATTTTTAGCTCGAGTCGCCACACGCCTCGGAACCGCGCTGGCAAGCTGAGACATGGTATTGATGGAAGGTTTGGGAGGCTGGAGAACGAGAATACCCAACCAGTGGTGGCGGACGACAAGGTAAGTTTCGTCACAATTCTTCAAAAATTGTAGCCTAAGCTGACTCTGAATTCATACATATGACCCTACTTTGCTCTGACGTACCCACTAATATACTAGCGCGATCTTTTGCAGTCGCCGTTAATATTGGGAGTCTCTACCATTTTTCAGGCACTCCGGATAATATCAGTCCAACGCTTTGCCTGTGAGACATCAATGTCATGGTTCTTTGACACCTTTCCGACGAGGAGATAGTCTACTAACACTCCCCGCACCGTTAGTACTAGTTTTTGTTTGTTGGCGCAGTGAGACTGAGGTATACCACCGCTTTTCCAGTGTAGAAAGCTTTTTCGGTACAGTTTGCTCGTGTCCGAGCCCCAAATCTGGCCTCCATTATCAAATTTGTCACATTGGTACTGGTGATTATGGACGGTTGCACCCCAAACCTTGAATCTAACGGTTAGCCTTCAGAACCTTCGTCAACATCCAGCATAGCACACATGCCTCCCCGTCGTGCTCACCACCTGCTTCAGCTTCCATGCCCAGTTCCAGGATGTTCACGCTGGTTTCGAAACCAGTCAGGTCTTACACAACACAGGCGCTCGCTTCACCCAACTTTACCTGTTTCAGCACCGTCCCCTCAGGATCATCCCCGGCCATCTTGTTCACCCTCCCGCCCTCGAGATTTCTCACTGCCCCCTCCGGATTTTTCACCTCCACCCCGGCCATCATCTCCCATACTTCCTGATCCAATTCAAGAGGATGTACACAATGATGCAGAATTTACTGACGCGAGCGAGCGTTGCTATCGCACATACCATTCAACATTAAATGGTAAGTTTCATTCAAGTTTGAGTACTCCGTTTTTGACTCAAATGTACGCTTAGGACGACCATGCGCGGCTGATGGGACATTTCTGCCATATGGCACCCCTCCGACTCCTGTGCCATTGAAGGCTCCTGATGATTGGAGCCCATATCGCACTAGGATCGAGTTTGAGGCGGCAGAGTTCGCATTCAAAAAATGTCATATGTCGGCAAGAAATTTGGATTTCTTGTGTGACCTAATGGCCGCGACTCTCGCAAAACACCACAACACCCCTCCATTTGCTGATCACAAAGATCTGCACAATGTCATAGATGCGACGCAGCTTGGTGACGTCCCTTGGCAGTGTTTCTCTGCTCAATATACAGGAGAACGACCTGAGGTTGCCCCACCGTGGATGGACAATGAATTCGAGGTCTGGTATAGGGACCCCCGCGCAATGGCGCACAATATCATCGCTAACCCTGACTACAAGGACGAAATCGACTATGTACCATATCGTGAATACGATGCATCGGACGCCACACGCCGATGGAAAGATTTCATGTCCGGAGACTGGGCATGGAAACAAGCAGTACGTCTTCCATCTCTTTCTGATATCGCTCGTAAATAGTATAGCTAATATTTCATCAAGGACACCATATCACAAGATCCAGAAACACACGGATCCGCTTTGGTCCCAATTATTCTCGGTAGTGACAAAACTACTGTCTCTGTGGGCACTGGTAATAACGAATACTATCCCCTCTACGCCTCGATCGGTAATGTACGCAACAACGTGCGACGCGCGCACCGTGATGCTCTTGTCATCATTGGTTTCCTCGCCATACCCAAAAGTACGTATATTCATATTTTAAATTTCGTTTTCCGTCATCTGATCTGCATTTCAGCTGACAGGAGTCATTCTAAAGATGACGCATTTCGGATATTTCGCCGCCAGCTATTCCACAGTTCGCTATCCGTGATTCTCTCCAGCCTCAGACCTGTTATGACCACGTATGAGGTCGTGCGCTGTGGAGATGGTCATTTCCGGCGCGTTATATATAGTCTAGGACCCTACATAGCGGATTACGAGGAACAACTCGTGCTATCCTGTGTTGTCAAACATTGGTGCCCGAAGTGAGTATTGGCACTTGCAGTCAGTATCCATTCACACTAACAATTTGTGTAGATGCATTGCAGTTCGCACAAACCTTGATGGTGGTGGCATCTACCGCACCCGCGAGTTTACTGATTTCTTGATCAACGAGCTACACGCAGATGTATTGTGGGATGAATTTGGTCTTATTGGTGATCTCGTCGTGAGTGGAACAAGCCGCTCTTCAATACCAGACTAATCTATTTTGTGTAGCCATTCACTAATGACTTCCCCCGAGCTGACATTCATGAGTTGCTGTCGTTTGACCTTCTCCACCAGCTCATTAAAGGGGCCTTCAAAGACCATCTCGTTGATTGGGTATCAAAGTACCTCAAGGCCGTACACGGGACCAAACGATCAGAGGAGATCATGAGCGACATAGATCGCAGGTATGTCAACTTATTCATTTACTCAACAATTTTATTTAACAATAAGCCAGAGTTGCTGCTGTAGCATCATTTGCTGGTCTACGACGTTTTCCTCAAGGCCGCGATTTTAAACAATGGACGGGCGATGATTCCAAAGCGCTCATGAAGGTATTTCTTCCGGCTATCGAAGGTCACGTACCTCAAGACATGGTGCGTGCGTTTCGCGCATTGTTAGAATTCTGCTATCTTGTCCGGCGCAACATCATTACCGAAGATACCTTGATTCAGATTCAAGACGCACTTCGTCGTTTCCATCATTATCGCAAGATATTCGATACCGTCATTCCCACCTTCTCACTCCCCCGTCAGCACTCGATGGCTCATTACGTGGACATGATCAGACTCTTCGGTGCCCCTAACGGACTGTGCTCATCGATCACAGAATCGAAGCACATCAAGGCAGTAAAGGAGCCTTGGCGGTGGTCGAGCAGGCACAATGCTCTTGGTCAGATGCTTGTGACCAATCAGCGCCTTGATAAACTTGCAGCATCGCGCGTGGACTTTGATGCGCGAGGGATGCTCACTGGCACTATTTTGTCGAGTGCTTTAGCTGCTCTTGGTAAGTTTGTTTAAATTTCTTTATCGAATTTCTCGCATATTCAATGGTAATGTACAACGGCAGATGAAAACGAACAAGTTGCCCCCGCTATGGCACCACAACCCCATGCCCCTGACAATGAACCGCAACCAGATGCCCCCGTCATTGAACCGCAACCAGACATGGACGATGGCGAAATTGTTGATGGTCCAACGGTACTTGCTTCTGTAGCACTCGCGAGAACTCCCCGTAAGTAACCTCCTGCAGTGTTTAAACTTGATCCTCACCACTGTATCACACAGAAAGAAAACGGGCACAGACAGTCGCAGCATTAGCACATGAAGTCGCTGTTCCAGATCTACGACGCCTCATTCGGTACTTCCTGTTCTCTCAGCTCAACCCAGATGATGCCCGCAACCCCGAAGATATCCCAGCTGCCGGCTTGCCTCGACATGAAGGCAAGCTTCAGGTCTTCAACTCTGCTGCCGCAACGTTTTATGCTCCCAGTGATCTGAGTGGCATTGGCGGCATGCGACGTGAGCATATCCGTGCATGTCCACTCTGGCGGAACGAGTACCCGCGCAATGATTGTGTGTTCATTAACACTGATTCAGATGCTGAAGGGATGCGAGGACTCGAAGTTGCGAGAGTCATATGCTTCTTTTCTTTCAAGCACGACTGGGAAGTATATCCATGCGCTCTCATACAATGGTTTGAGAAGATTGGTGACTGTCCTGATGAAGATACTGGCATGTGGATGGTCGCTCCAAGTTTTCATGAGGACAGCTCGAGGGACCTTGCTGTCATTCATATCGAGACGGTCTTCCGTGCAGCCCACTTGATACCCATCTACGGTTCTGAGTACATTCCTCCCTCCCTCAAGTTTTATCAGTCTCTTGATACTTTCGGCTCATTCTACGTCAACAAATACGCTGATCACCACGCGTTCGAGATAGCGTCCTGACTGGATGACATAGGTGGGTCCTCAGTTCAATTTTTGGTCCGTTGCTAATATTCAGGTCCTAGGACATTGCATGACGACAATATCCAGTCGCCGTTCCAGAAGGTCTCCCACTGGCTGTAACTCTTGCTCTGGCATTCGCCACCAAGAGGATGACGAAAGAAAACCTCCTGGTGCGCGTCTTGGGCTCCTGCGAGACGATGGCCAACTCTTCCATCATCTGCACCGACAAGACCGGTACTCTCACCCGCAACGTCATATCCGTGGTCGCAAGCCCACACAGGAGCTCTGGTTCGAATACCCTGTGTGACGATTTCAGCATCGATTAATCAATGCTCAACACCGTTCTGAGCCGGCCACTTCTTTCGCTGTTTAATGCGGCCATCGCTGTTAACTCTACTGCGTATGAGGACGAGGAGAAGGAGACTGGGAAGCGTGTGTTTGTGGGAAGCAAGACGGAGACGGCACTTTTGAACTTTGCGAAAGAACTTGGGTGCGTTTCTACGTCAAGGGTGCTAGCGAGATTTTGACAAAGTTGTGCAGCAGCCACGTTGTCGTAGAACAGAATGGGAGCTCTCGCCCCAGTACCGAGTCCAACGATGTCGAGGTGGCAGATATCGATGGCGTCTCGCAAGAGAACATGACGAGGACTATCATTTTCTACGCAAATCAGACTCTGCGGACTATCACCCTGTGCTATAGGGATTTTCCGTCTTGGCCACCACCAGGGATGCAAGGCACTGCGATTGACGATGTAGGTATATTTTCAGTGATATTTCGACATACTCATTTAGTTCTAGGTGCCCTACGACGTCATCGCCTAGAACTTAACATTGATCGGAATCGAGAAGCAGATCTTGATCCGGTCTGTCTACCGGATCACCGTCATCCTATTATTCCACTTCCTTGGCATCACAATTTTGGGCTATGCAGACACGTCGGGGAATGCCACCATTGTCCAGACTCTCGTCTTCAATGCGTTTGTCTTCGCTCAGATATTCAACTTGGTGAACTCACGAAGGCTGGACCGGAAGCTCAACATTTTTGAAGGCATGCTTAACAATTGGTACTTCATGGCCATTACTCTCATCGGTGAGTCGAGTCATGTTATACCTGGACTACCCTCACGGCTGGTTTGCAGAGATCGCTGTTCAAGTGGTCATCGTGTTCATCGGTGGCACCACATTCCAGGTGACACGTATTGCTGGTCGTAAATGGGGCATCTCACTTGCCCTCGGCTTCGTATCCATCCCCTTGGGCACGCTCATCCACCTACTGCCCAACAGACCCTTTGAACGCCTCTTCATCATGATGCGCTTACTCCCCAAACCCGAAGGCGGTCTTCTCAAAGTTCGCCCAGATGTTGAATGGAACTCTGTGATTGAACTTTTGCGTGACAATCTCGCCACGTTCGCTAACCTGCAGGGCGGGCGACTTCACTCGTCTTCATTTGTTGTGAAGAGCCATCAGGCTAGACTGCACGAAGATAAACGTGTTCCTCTGTATGTGTTGATGTTTAGTTTGTGAGATGGAATCCTTAATTTTTTCTAGCCCCTCGTTGATGACTATGATACCGACGCTTATTGCATCTTCCATCGGAGCTGGCTGGGCACCACAATCACGCGGTACACCGTCTGACCCTGCTCGTTATGATCCCTCAAAGTCCTCTGCTGCTCTCTGGGAAGGCAGGCTCCAAATTCATCCCGATACCAAGCCAGATGATGCACTGTATCGCACAAAATGGGGTGATGGCATCATGTGCGTTGTCTCTTGCGGTCGAGTTGTTCTCTATGCTGACGCATAGGTTTGCAGCTTTGATAGTGACTGGTGAATAAGCTTCTGGTTATCGTTTGGAAAGACGTACTGATGATGATGTCTCAGGAATCCCCATGCTGATCTTTAGGCTCAAGATCGTGCTCACCGTATCGGCCAGACAAAGGCTGTCCGAATCCTCCGTTTCATCACAGGGAAGAGTGTCGAAGAAGCTATGTATGCTCGTGCGCGGTACAAGCTCGATATCGACGACAAGGTCATCCAAGCCGGTCGATTCGACAACAAATCAACATAGGAAGAGCAGGAAGAATTCCTGGTAGGTGTTGCAGCAGCTCTCTCACATAACGAATAGCTAAATGAGTGGTATGCAGCGGTCCATCCTCGAAGCAGATCAAGAGGAGGAGAACGAAGAGGCCGGTGACATGAATGACGATGAACTCAATGAGATTTTCCGCACGATGGATCTTCAGCGAGAACGGGATGCGTTGGACGCATGGCGTGCGATCAGCAACAGGGGGAAGCCGTCGTTACCGCTCATGCAGCTTGAAGAGCTGCCTGAATGCTATCAGACGGATGAACTGTTCGAGCCGAAGGAGATTGATGATGCTATCCAGGGCCATGGTCAGCGTCGTCGTAATGTCGTCAATTATAACAATGGTCTTAGCGATGAGCAGTGGGCGATGGTACGTCTAGTAGGATGTCGCGATGCATGCATGCTGATCGGGATGTTAGGCTGTGGAGGACGGTGAAGATTTGCAGGAACTCGTCGATCGTGCCCGTGGCAAGAAAGAACGACGCGCTGCCAACAAGCTTCTCAAGGAAACCGATACGCCTGGTCGTAGTACTCCAGCGTCAGACTTGGGTGTCGAGGTCGAGTTCACAATGGGGCATGCGAAGGTACGTGTTTATTCTATCTACTATACATTGATACAACGCTGACGGTGAATATTTGCGGGTCAAAGTCGCGAAAACGACACTATGAGGACCAGGTAAGTCTTCATTGATTAAGAGACATCCTAGGACTCACTTTAGGCTGGAATCACGAGCGACTCGTTCCGTCTCGATTCCTCTCGCCGATCCACCCCTTCACCCTTTCCCAAAGGCCCTTTGGCACCTCCGCATTCGCCTCTGCCTCCTCTGCTTCCGCCTCAGCCCGAATCGCCTCATTCGCCCTGATCGCAACATCGATCCATTGGCGCTTCCTCCCTCGCACGCTATCAAAAGACTTTGAAGCTGCCATTTACTTAACGAGATCTCGTCAATACGTCATACTTATAAGTACACTTGCACCACTTACTGTAGTTTTGTGCCTTGAAATAAATGTGTGTCCTTTTGATGCTTATCTGCGCATTATCGCGCTTGTTTGTCACGCGCTTTCTTTCGACTAAGACACTCAATCAAATAAATGTAAATAAGTGGTAAATAATATTTATTGACCGGCGGCAAGTCTCGAAAAAGGAAGTCAAGCAATGCGTGAATTTACTGATGCACAGCGACCCGCTCATGCTCACTGTCAGAATCGCAAATTCCCTACTCGAGCTGCAGCTCAGGCCAGAGCCGGGCCACTGCATTCTGAGGCGCGCAGGTGAGTCATGTGGTTGATTCCTGGTTCCTCCCTACCCGCCTCCCCGTGGTCCACGGCTCTAGTGTGACGACTGAGCAGGATGAACATCCCATGGTCTTGGGCCTCACTGCTAGCCCTATGTTCGGTGGCAATCCTACTGCAGCCTTCCGGTATGGTGCTCGGATTGGAGACTACGAATATTATTGACATGCTTCCAGGAAGTTGGAAGCCAACCTCGACTGCGTTATTCATAGTCCTCGAGCCAATAGTGCTGCCGCAGTCCGGTTCCGAACCTCGGTTCGAACCTGAACCTTTCCGAACCGGACGCATGGTCCGGTCCAAGGTTCGGCCAAGACTCAGAACCGAACCTTTCCAGAGGTTCGGGGTTCGGGCTGGTAGTGAATAGGTTCGAACGGGTTCGAACCTCTCAATTTTTGTACGCTTTACACTTTTTTAAAAAGATGTAAGTATTTACTATGTGTCAATATATGCAAATGCATGTGTCTGCAACCCGCGCAGGTTTGAGCCGGGTGAAATTGACGCGGTCCTCTGTCGCGCCTGCCGCAGTCGTGACGCGCTGTGACACAGTACTGCACCGTCACAACATGTTCAAACACTAGGTATCTTATGTCGCTATATGAATTCCAAACACTTTGAACTCTTGCTAATGATTAATATAGGTAAGTACTACTTGGGAATGTTATGAGCCATGCTGATCAAAGTCGTTGCTTATTGTTCGCAGGAAGTGAGTATGTCAAGATTTTCGAGCTCGAACCATTCTGATCCAAATCGTTGGCGGACCAGGCCACCGTTCCTCGTTCGAACAAGAGCCGTGCTGATCCAAGACGTTGGCCACCGGCCAATCGGGATGAGCTCTTGACTCATGTCCACTGTCCGATCTTCCGACACGTGTGCTACGATACACCGCAATACTCTGATCATAACTATACTTCTAAAAATTTATCAGCAGTCAATGCCATTATTGCTACTATGAACATCGGATCCCGAATTCCATGGTCTCAGCTGTGGTTACTGTGGTGCATCTTTTTCTAACTGTTCAAGCACTATCTCACTGTGTTCTACCAGATTTTTTCTTCCCTACTTGATCTGAAGTTGGTTGACTTTGCATCCGCTGAGTTGAAAGCAGCATTTGCGCGAATCGATTTCGATGGGATGAGTAGGGCATTCCTGATAGCACAGGGACTTTGCGTTACACGTTTTGTCTCATTTCCTCATTTTCATATCTTGTGATTTGCGATATTCTAGTATTTAATCACATTATAATCATTTTGTTGTATTCGTGTGGATTTTCATAAATTTTCACCCATCCGTAGAGGGACTTGGAATATTTTAATGTATTTTCAGAAAGTCAGAAAATTTTACAAAATCTTCGCGGGAGGTTTTCCCTGATGAACACGGTTCTTGATCGTTTTGAGGAGTGTTTTCTGCAGGTTGTTGGCGAGCTCGGAGTGAGCGAGGAACTCCTTAAAAGTCTCACAGGTTCTCTCAAAACTGGTCTTAAACATATGCTTGTGACCATCGGTGTGTCACGATCAAACGACCGTTCGTTGACAACCTGATATCAAATGATGATACAGGAGACATCGACGAGCAGCATCCAAATCTCGTACGGGCCCTCTTGCGTATCATGATTAGCATGCTATCTACCAATGGCCCGGAGTCTCTTCTCACGATTCTCCGCACAGTTGGGTTTGGGCCTTCGGGACCAATGAAGGGTACGATTTTGTATAGTTGCAACACATCACAATATTTATAACGTTCTTAGGTGGAATTGCTGCGTGGTTGCAAGGGTGGTCGTCTGGCCCCGCCGTGCCAAATGGCGACTGGTTTGCGATGCTTCAGCACCTTGCCATGATGAGAAGAGCGCAACTGTAGAACTAGTGTGAGGATTCCCTGCCCGTAGTCTAGAGGGCAGAGAACCAATATCACCTTACTAACAACATGGTTTACCTGTCTGATTTCCAAGGCGAGTGCCCGACCACTCACCTGACTGCCACCCACAGCTAACCGACTGTACTTGGCATAGGTTCTGGTAACCTCCTTACCGACTGTCAAGTCTTAACTGGGTCGTGAGTCCACGCTAGTACTACTTAGCCTTGGACTGTCATACTAACGCAAGCATCCAGGGCTTTTACCCTTTACTACCTAGAGTTTCAGTACTCAGCACTACCATCCTTACTGTATATCTTTGCCGACGATCGTTCTTGTTTCAGTTCCCTCGCGCTGAGGTGATTCTTGTAGTACAAATCCTGCTTGACTTGTTCGATCAAAAAATAACTTTACATTCGTCAATTTGTTATCAAGGGATACAATAGATACCAAGTGGTGATAGAGAAGAAACCACGATCCACCCAATGGGAATTCACTGTCAAACAGCCAGCGATGAAAAGCGAACATTGCAGTATACCTTGGTGGTGGTAGTACCACGATGAGGCACGACGAGGCCAGTGCAGTCTGGTGGGGATGTGGTGTTGAAGCCAGAGACATTGATGCGAAATAGGAGACGGCGTGTCTGACATTCTCGTTGGCGCGTGATGTAGATGTCAGTGAGTCAAAGAGAGGGAAGATGAACGCAGATGAGCGCCAACACACGATACCAGCACCGATTGGCAACACATGCAAACAAATGTGCGAGGAAGCTGGGCGATGGTGCATAAGTTGAGGGTGAGAGGAGTGGCACATCGCATACACGCCTCATAAACGAACACTTTGCAGGTAGTTTATCATACTACTATCATCCATTGTCCAGGCGACTTGTTACAACCTTTTCCTTTCAGAACACTACTAGGGACTTCTCTATATCCCATCCCATATTCTGCAGTCCGGGCTTGACGGCATGTGTTATCATAGCATCAGGACCGCACGGTAGGATGAGTCCATGCTCAGAGTGGCGAGGCATGTGCTCCGACAGCAACACATCATTAATTCGCCCAACGCTGTACGGCCACTCCTCAGGAGCGACACTAAGCGTGTAGTGCAGCTTAAAACGCCCCCTGCCATGTAATGCAAAGAGTGTGTCAAGTTCTTCTCTACAGAGGATGTCCTGCTCTGTCTTGTTCGCACTGATCACCCACACTCGGGTCTCGCTTTCCGCGTTTTGGAAGATACTGCAAAGCACCTGGAGGATCGGTGTTATCCCTGCACAACTTTATTTAGTATTGCACGTTTACGATGTTGCATTCGAAGTCATACCACTTCCACCGCAAATCATGCCGACTTCTTTGATGGTCTTCCTTATCCCGTTCCACAATGCAGTGCTTGGCCCGTCCCAAATGAAGGACCCTAACGGCCCCTTGAGCTCCACGCTATCTCCGATACGTAATTGATGGAAGCCAGTGGTCATCTTCCCTCCAGTGGGGATTGACGCGGAAGGAAGATACAATCTAATGAAGACTTCAGTGCGAAGAGCATATCCTGATGAAGAATATGAACTTGATGAGAAAGTCGATGAAGCCTACTGCGTCTTGTTGCGATACCGGAGTATAAGCCCTCTGTACCATCTCCCCGGTATCCTGTCGGCGTAAGCGAACGAAAACATGTTGTCCAACTGGCAGACCTAGCGGCTGGTCTCCTTTTGGCAAGGCGAAACGATACAGGTAAGAATCGTGGTTGATCTGCTTGATGGCACACAATTCAATATCCTTCCATCGGCTGCGCTCTAGAAAGGTTCCATCGGACTGCGTTGTTATGGGCCTTTCTCTGGTTAAACTGGTTACAAGGGTACCAATGTGGTGCTGTAAAACGGCCCATAAACCAACGTTCTACTGCAAAATCACGAGGACTTACCTCAGCCAATTTTTGTTTGCCTTCTGCAGAATGTATGGCGAAGAAGTCTTCGGACGCATCTTCGCCAGCTACAAGCAATATAGAGTCCCCGCCTCCTGGGTGGTCCTTTAGAAATGGAGTTCCATCGTAAACCTCACCGTTGATGACAAACCACGGTTGCTGTCGATCTTGCGCCCTGAACTCTTCCAGAGTAATTTTCCGATTCATGCCAGGCTTGGTCAAGCAGACCTTATCTGATTCGTGCTTTGGAGCACGTGGTGCGAGATCCTGTCCTTTTTCGCCGGAGACAGGCTTTGTAATATCCTCCCCTACCGCTTTCATGCGCTGATTTCTACCATCAGGATTTGTTTCTGGGACCAAAGATTAAGCATCACCTCCATCCATCCTCCATTCGCTGTCCCAGCGAGTGTTGGATGTTCAAATTGCAAGACGATTTTCCCGTCATCGTTGATGGTTCTATGAACGGCAATGCGAAACCACCTGCCAGCAGCTCGCAACAGGGCGCAGAATATCAGGTTTATCAAGACGTACCAGTTGTTCATCATGCCAAGTGCATGCCAATACCTGGGAACAGTTGATGTTAATGAACCCGCACAGTACGGTCCTGCCTTACATGTCTCTTTGTTGGAACGCGAGGCCTTCATCCATAGCTCTAACCATCAACACATCACAGCTCGCTAGAATGTCATGCGAGACATCAAATGTCCAGAAGCACCAACAGCTAGATGGGATCTGAACATTTTTCATTGCAGCGGTAATGGTTGCTGCTCACAAGGACGTATCGCGCTCTGATGCGTCAAGAGTTCCATAAAATGGGTCTTGGTGACGCACTTCTCTGAATCGGTCCTCAGGATACTCACTTTTTGACACGATATCAATGAGGTGTCGATTCTGAAGCGTGTAGACGTACATGTTTCCCAATGTCCATGTCTCCCCTTGGTCAAGCGAAACCTCGACGCGGGTCACCCTGCGACCTCCACCTGCATACGCATATCCTCGTATAGGATATGATGCGATTGTGCCATTCTCATCCGGCGTCTTATTGATGTAGAGATTTTCATTATGATCCGGTTTCGCGATGACGCTATTGACGTTAAGCTCCCTGAAGACTCTTGTTCAACATGTGGTACATAAGAGAGCAAGATTAAACCAACGTGATGATGTATCTGAGATATCCTCGATCTGGTGAGTAACTTGCTGAGGAACGCCAGAGCACTCGAACTAACCTTGGGTCATACCACCAATGCTTCTCAGCGCGGGCTTGGTCAGGCATAACCTGCGCTGGTAACATTTTGTTGTCCTATGCAACATTAGTGCAATTCATCCTCGAGGATAAAGTGATCTACGCATACCCAAAAGTGCAACTGCATGAACAAAACCATCAGTCGACGCTTATTTGAGTTGTACAAGAACTGGCATACGTGGTGCTGGCTTTCGCGACTACTTATTTCGATGCGTCTCAGCCACTAAGTGGTATCTAATTGACTATGGGTTCATTGTCATCGGGAAACACCTTACTTTAACAGACCGTCCACCGATCTGACCCGGCACAATGATGCGCACGGGAAAACCATGGTCTGGTTCCAACGGTAAACCATTCATTGCCCGGGCTAATGTAGAAGGTCAGGAAGAATCATAACACTGTAAATGATTCGAGTTACCAAGAGCATACCCTTGTCCTTATTGGAAGCCCATGACAGTCGCTGCGATGTTCCATAGGGCCCGTTCGGAAGCTTGTCTCCGCCTTCAAAGACAACGTATTTGGCTTGTCTACAAATTGGTCTCACGTAATTCAATACGTCGGCCAGATATACGCCTGTCCAAAGGGCTGTTGATACTTGATATTGATGTTGGTGAGGACTTGTTTGAATTAACACGAGTTGAAACCTCACCTCCCGCTGCTCCCCAGCTGAAGCCAAGTGTCTTGCGGATGACATTCTGTTCTTTCCGCCTGTTGCCGGCGCATACAAGGGTTACAGGAATGCTAACAACGGGAAACTTTTCTCGGAGCTCTTGTAGAGTGAATGTAACCTCTCGTTCCACCAGACCATGCACATGGATTGTCCAGTTAGCAGCTATCTCGTGGTTGACCTGTGGCACTGCACCATGATTCCGCACGAAATGCAGGCGAGGTGGAGTGAAGAATCCCTGTAAAGACGCTCTCAGTCCCGTGCAAAACATCGGAAACAAGATACCTACACACTCAAATAGATCATTGAGTCGCGCTTCAGAGTTAAACGGATGTTTTCCCGTCAATCGTACGAGTTCTGGATTCTGAGCGCAGAGGACTCAAAAATCACGCAGATATCATTGATTTACTGTCCTTACACGATTGACCCAGTTATCTGGCGTGTCAAGATCCTGGTGAATGTAAATGTCAAATTAACGTTGTGCGCTGAAATATTCAGCACAACCTGCTGAGCTACTTCTGTTGGGGTAGCATTGATTGGGAGCTGTGGGAGGCACTGGGGAAGTTGGGGACCATTCCTTTCGGGCCCGTCGAGGAATGAGGGAAAGAACGCTACAGGTAGACCATCCTGAAGTTTCTGGTTGGTGAGGTCCGGGGAGCGTACCAAGGACATGAAAGCAATAGACGGAGTGGTAGCAGGTGATCGAATGCACTAGGTGAGTCGGCGGATGAACTTGAAGTCCTTGAGAATTGTGGGGTGACAGTCAAATATTGGGTCGCCACTAGCACTGCTCGGCGTTCGATAATACTAACCATCTCTCAAGTCACGCGGGGAATTTATCTCGTTATTGTCATGGTCCTTTCAAGTGTTCGGCCAGAAACTGATTTAGTTCTGTCAACTGATAAGCTGTTATCGATTAGCACGCATGGAACTTACGGAAGACTGAAGTTGAATCCCTTGGAAAGTTTCGCAGTGCCTGCGGCTTGGCGGACGTAACTAAATTTTGGACATCAAAGAAGTGACCAGAGCAGGTGCCTGGGGTCCTACGATGAAACATAACATCTCAATACAGTTCATATCGGACTTCCCCTTATTGATAGTACCATTCAACAGTCCCGCCTGTTGCGATATTCAATGGGCGCATGAAGTACACCAGAGTGGCAAGCTCATTCGAGGCTCATATTGGTCACCTTGATCGTAGCTATGTCCGATGTCACCTCTCGCAGCGCACGACTAATATCGACTGACAATATTGTGGTACCACAGTGATGTACTAGCTGGCACTAGACCATTATCTTCATGCCCGTGCTGAGCGCTGATTCCTCGTAGTGATGCGTTACTCGGCACCTTCCGCTAGCAACCCTTACCCCGGTCATTAGCACGACGGCTTTCTCATCTTTTCAAATGGCTATGAGTCAGGATTATTCGACCAATTCCATTCCTCCACTGATGTGCAACATATATCAGACCCAGTGCACTCAGCACTGCTGCAATCGTATCAGCTATCTTGGGATATCTCATGCGCGGGACCCGCAACTGTAAGCACCTATGTAGCAGCTAGAAGCGGTGAGGGAAACAATGAAATCTGGCATATTGTAAGGACGCGGCGATTTCGACATTCGTGCGTGCGCGCCACTTGAGCTCCGCTGGCGCTCCAACATCTTTGAGGCTCCTTTTTATTTCGGTCTCCGCATGCTCCTTCCGCACCCCAATGGCTTCTGCGTGCTCTTTTCATGGTATCGTTGGCATTCAAAATGCTACACCTTCTAGACGAATTCAACGAGATTATATTAGATGCATCGCCAGGAGATTATCATGGCATGGAGTCACACGGACAATGAAGACAGACCATATGCGATGGCAGCAGCAGTGCTTGCGCACCGACAGCTGTACACTCCACTGCCAAGAGTGCGAGGTCGTAGAGACAACGGCTAACGTAGTATAGATGAATCAGACCGCCTGAAGCGCTTGTCTAGCTATAAAAAAACTCTTTTACATGTCAGAGGTAGTCTAGGCTAGTTCAATCGTACATGTTGTCACTCGAAACATCCCTGGTAAGAGATCTGAGTATATGACCATTTTCGACTGACATCTTTCATTCAAAACTAGTAGGTTCAGTCGATACTCTCCTGCTCGAACTCACTTTGACATCGACGCAGCCTTCCCGATTGATTGATTGAAATAAGAGTTCGGAAGTGCTCAGTTATTATTCTCACTATCATACAGGACAGGAATATCTCACATCAGTCAAGATGCAGGCTCATGTGGTTGGACGATACGAACAGACGAAAGCATTTTCCTTAAAGAAACGTACTGTAAGAATGGTACTTAGGTACCTTGTTCAAAACTGAGGTACACGGATAATACAGAGTAAGAGGTTCACACCCTGGGGTGCTATCTCAGTACTCATTGTATAGGGTGGGTGGACCTTTTACTTACAACTGTGATGACACCAGCAATCCAAAATGCCCTGCCAAGAGGATATGGTTGAAAGCGGAAGATAATCGCGAAGAATATCCCTCCAAGATTTCCCATGGCACCTACAATTCCGGTCTAGACCAGTCAAGTTTGAATCATTCTGCCATCACCACACACCAAGTGATGTAAGACTGACCATGAATCCATTGGAGTCTTGTGACAGAACAGGATCAGTCATGAAAATTGGCAATTTAGTACACTGAACACGGACTGGGGTTGCAATGTGGAACAAGAGAAAAGTTAACTCCATTGGCGACCTCATTGAACATTGCGACAATGACAAAGATCACAATGATGACCTCAACTGGTGTTGCTGTCAGGCATCAGTGATAAATTGAGGTCCGAACTCACGAGATGGATGAGAGTGGTTGTCAATGTAAAAACCAAGACCAAGCGATAAAAGCCCTTGAGCGACTCCACAAGCGATGGTCAGGTACTTCTTGCCAGGCACCTGCAGAGCCTCTTCAAACCGATTTCATGCACAATGTCAATGGCACTTACACCAAATTTGACATATATGAGATCTCCGAAATATCCGCCTGTAATGAGATGGTGGTTATGAGGAGGAGATAGCTTAGCTTGCGAAGAAAGTGACTAACCAAGCGGCCGGAAGAACACATTAAGGAGACCATATATGCCTGCAATCTGATAAACCTGTCATCACATAGGTCATGGCGACTGTTAAAGGAGACTCACATAGCCAGCTTTGGTTTGGCCAAAAGTGGGGGACTTGAATAGGGTATACAGAACGGTAGCCAAGTTGACTTGAATAGCAAGCTCGTAGCCGAAAGTGGTCATATAAGCCAATGAGGGAAGCCAGGTCAGTGGGTTTAGAACGATTTCATACGCCGTGTTCAGGGAAAGTGGATTGTTGACAGCAGCGTCCAATTCTGAAACCAAGTCTATAACATTCGGTTAAGCGAACAAGAAAAATCAACAAAAGAGAACGATAAGCACTGACTTGTAGCAGTAACAGCAGTAACAGTAACCTCGATGTTCTTCTCGTCTCCAGTCTCGATATCATCACCAGACTTTGTTTTTATATTCTCGCTATTGCTCGTTTGATCATCTGACGTAGGAAGTGTAGTGGCAACAGCTTTATAACGATCACTCCATTTGCCCGCGGGATGGTCAGTGCCAAACATTAGAGTGGCAGCAGCAACAGAGAGGAGAATGGGAACAGGAACGATTGCAAATGCCACCCGCCAGGCAACGTGAGGGCTCATACCGTTAGCAAGTAATTGATTGAAGAGAGCGATCATGATGATGAACGTGAAGCCGCCACCCGTATCTCCCCAGCCTCCGCCTAAGGCATTTGCTGTGAATTCGACTATATTAGAATACCCAACACATTAGATTTTTAAACAGAGTTTCACCTGTACCAACGACATTCTTATCAAAGAACGCAGTGTTCCAAGCTTGACAAGAGACAAATGTGGCACCGAGAATGCCAATGAAGAACCGGACAATGTAGAGACCTTGCACAGTTGATATGGTTCCAGCAAGGCCAGAAGGAATCGTCCCTATAATGAGAAGACCCGCCATCACCTTGCGGGGCCCATATCCTACAAGATCAAATATATGAAGTACTAGGGTGTCGAACTGTACTACTCACGATCGACGAGGAGACCTGATATAAGCCGTACAACAAGGGTGGCGCACAGCGAAACAATATTCGAATTCCCTTAACAGTGTTTCAGATCATAACTAACAGTGCATGGGCTCGGAATTTGAACGTACCGACTTCCTCAGATGTCAAGTTCAAGTCAGTCTTGATGGCATCTGGAATGAGAGGGGCGAATGCGAACCACGATAAGCTGTATAAACAAATCACGTTTAGTGGCTAACGTGCACAAAACATCTAATAAATCTCATTCACAAGGCGACAAAAAATCCAAGCCACGACCTGCATGGCTACCAATAAGATATGACACTGTATACACTGCTTAGAGAAACGTACAGATGGAAATTGCGAGAGTACTGATTGTTCAGCGAGAAAATAGGGATCGTGGAACATTTGCTGTTACTGGGATTGATCACTGGGTAGCGCATGCTCGCATACGCATTGCTAATGCCAGAAAGTGTCAGGGCAGGCATAGGCGCAGTCGACGAAAATACAGTGTTGAAGGGCGAATTGCAAGAATCTTGAACGGAGTATGAGCGTCTTGGGTTTTATTTTAATCACTGACCCAAGCAAGCTAAGACATTGGTCCAACAGTGAGTGACAGACTTCCAAGGATAATTGATCACGATAAAGAAGATGGGAACCTGAAATACGTATCCACCGACACGGCCCCAATCATCAAGGTCAGGATGCTGTCAGTGGCGCATGAAGAGTGGTTACTGAGGCACCCTGAGTGCTACCCTTGGCAGCACTTTGGCATCAGTGAACCGGTGAAGAGACCACCTGGGTAACACCATATATGGTACATATTAGTAACGATTATGACATACCATACCTGTTACTAAGTAGGGGCGAAATCATACGCTGCAGCACTTCAGCAATAGCCGCAGCACTCAGCAGTCAGCCCATACTGTCATGATGATATATCTATTCTGTACTGTTAGCCAGAAACCCTGATACATCCTCCTGTTTCCTCATCCACTGTCCAAATTGGATGTATCCCTTTGTGGCGCTGCTTCACAGGCTTTTACAGGCTTACAAATCATATATACGGGGGGTTGGATACCATACATGGAAGTTATTCACCCGTTGGCCCTTGCACCCCCCAGTAGGACCAATACTAGTTTGTTCTTCTGCATCGGCTTCCATTGATTGGATCTTCCCATTGGCAGGTCTGTCGACAGGTGGATCTCTGATTGTATCTAAGACCTGATGTGAGTACTTAGATCAGAAGCAATGAATGCATCGTCGATTCATCAAAGTGTAACTTTTCAACTTTACCTTCGAAAGCCACTGCATTCCCCATGTTAAGTATGATCCAAACCATTTGTCATGGACAGACTAAGACAGTGAATTGAGTGACACGCGTAAGTAACTACATTAATGGTTGTCAAGGATCGGATCTCTTTGCTCAAAGTCGATTGTACACTGCATTGAAGAGATATGGAACATCAGTAAACTATTTGGCGCTGTACAGTGTGCAAGCTCTACAGCTTGGTCCCAATTAGTCAGTTCATCACAGTAACACTTTGTGCTGTGGATCTCTGTACAGACACCCACAGACCACACAGTAATTATGAAATTCTACCTAAATTGCAAATTTTTTTGCTGTCCATCTTTGTACAGACACTCACAGCACATCCAGAGAATCGGAGCTGTACAGACATTGCTCGCTGTACTGTTTACATTACACTGGACAGAATTTTAAACAAAAATCATATTGAATCACATGACTATGACAGACGGTACTAGATCATGATCGGGAATACAATGATATGGTGCGCTAAAACGATAAATGCTTGGTTGATATAAAACAGGACGAAATGTTAGTTGAGAAGAATCTGCAGGTGGTCGTGCCTCGCCTTAACAACTCCTTCGAGATTCATAGCTGTAGCCCTGTACAAATGAAAATCAGTATGAAAATTTTCACGGAGTCAAGATCCTTGCCATCCTGCTGCAGCCCATTCTTGCAGTTGAGCTAACAGCCTAGGCCCATGATACACATCCTTGAGGATACATTTGAGCAATTCCAGCATCTGACGATAGATAGGTCCGTAGTCCTTCGTGGAAAAATTCAAGTATGACTTTCCGTGTCCATTCTTCGCAAGGCCGTCGAGGACACAATTGAACTAATAATAAAAACGCAAAATTAACATACAATATTGGTAAAGGAGAGAAAGTTACTGCTGCAGCAACCAAAGCCAAACATGAAAGCAGCAATTCTGTGCGGAAGATCTCCGGCATCCTTTGCGCAATTTGGTATGGTCCTGTGTAGAAGAATGAGATGACGGTTTCACGAAGGGCAGGATGAGCGAAGTTTCGTATTCTCCCCTGGCAATCTTCCATTAGTACAATTGCAATCGGCACCAGATCACTTACCTGTTCATCCACCCCAAACCATAAGAAAAATGATCCTTTGATTAATTCAGCTGCAGCATGTTCGATCCAAGCAGCACATTCTTGAACGGGGACTGAAAGTGGAGGAACAAGCAAATATGATACTGGTACAGTGCTTATCGCGGTCTTCTTCAAGTCAGATCGCCAAGTTGAAAGATCGTCGTACAGCTTTCAGTATAGACCGTCATTGAGGTATCAGCACAAAATGAATTATACACCTACCAACCGAGTCATATTGAATTTTTGCTTTGGCCAAACCCCTGCATCACAATATGACAGATGAGTTCAAGAACGAATAAGAACGAATGAGTACTTGCCAGCTTCAAATTGTTTGCCATTTGTATCCCACACGACCAACACTGCAACAAGAACTTCAGTTATTGTTCCTGGTAGATTCTTCACCAAAGTTGGAAATGGGTTCTCCAGGGCGTGTTGCACACGACATTCTGCTTTGGCATCCTCCAGAAAACTTTTCCAGCACGGCCCGTACCAAGATAATTGATCGGGTGTTGGCCCACCATGCGATGACCTGGATTTTTTGTTTTTTGACGGCTGAACACTAGACTCGGTCACTTGATCCAATAGTTTGAGGGATTCAGGCTCAGGAAGGCGGTGTAGAGAATCATGCCTCTCATGGTGTGATATGGTAGTTTTCACTAAGAAGTACATAGCACGAACTCATAGCATCACTCTGTGTACTATCCACAGTGATTCCTATATGCGCAGCTTTCCCATGCAACGCGCACCATGCGCGCACCATTCCCGCGCTTCGCGATGTATATGCGCGCGCGCTTTCCCACGCTTGCGTGCCCTTTAGCGCCAGCCATCCAGATGCATCCATCCACTGTCCACCATGTTCTCTAGTGCGTATATTTCTATTTCTCTCATTGCATATTATTCCATCTTTATTTTTATCATGGACTCTCACATATATATATTTTTACATACCTACTCGGTAGCGCTTCGGCTCCGCATGACTGCGCTTAGGCGCGCTATATAAGCGCCAGCAGTACATACTATTACTCACTTACTTTTTACTACACTTTTTCACCCATCTTTACTTACCTACTTAATACCTAGAAAGTCATAGTAGATCTCTATTCATTTGCATCACTCTTCTCTTATCTTGTATCATATCATCACTTAAGTTTAGTCTTTCTTATTTCGCACCTCGCGCGCGCGCCTTTCCCGCGCTTCGCACTAATACGCGCGCGCATTCCCACGCCTTCGTACCTTGCGTGCACCTGCGCTTTCTCGCGCTTCGCATTTCCGCGCATACCTCTAGATCTTTGCTGTACTCACTTCCCCTTTAGGGTCGAACGCACTTGTCTCCTCAAGTAACGCAGACTAGGCAACGCGCGACCTTTCAACATTTATAGATACTGTCAGGAGCATCATTAGTTCCTAGCAGTATTGTTGTTTCTACAGCGGGGCTTTCCATTTTTCTTATGGTGGCGTTGCAATACATCGTCGGGCTTTGAGGTAATGGTCTGCTCAATCATGAGTGTCAATTAAGATGATCTCCCTGATCTTACCTCCATGTGTTGGGACCATTGCCCTTGCAGTCCTGGTGAGCTGTCCAGAGGGCCCTTGAAAGAAAAGCAATGTAAGCATGATACAATTGAATGATTGGATCATACCTTAGAGCTTTTGTTCCGCTGAACAAACAATTTAAAATGAGAATTGGTCTCGGCCAGACTAGAAAAATTACTGAGGTTTTATCAAGGCTCGTTTGGGCAATCACATCATCATTGTGCGAGTACTGGAATTCAAATTCAGGTGTGAGAGTGCGAGTGACTGCAGGTTGCGAAGGTAGTGCATCTTCTAAAAATCCTACAAAATTGAATTAGTGAAGAGAAAAAAATCGCTATGAAATATTTACCTGGATGTTCTTTCTGGTGTCGGCCAACCTCCCCCCAACCAAAATCCTGCGAGCCCTTAACTGTGTCGTTGTTATCGCCCTCCTCTTCGTCCTTTCCGTCATCCTCTTCATCGGCATCTTCATCGTCGCTGTCATCACTATCATCACTGCTGCTACTGCCTTTGGAGTCACTGTGCTCCTCGGATCCTAGCAGCCTCAAACGATACTGAGCCCTAACAGTGTCATCCTCCTGGCGTAGGGCTGGATCCAAGTTCTGCTCCAAAAACACGGACCTTGGCAATACCGGACTTTCAGGGACAACAGTCTGGGTGTGCTGTTCAGCGATAGCATCCCTGGCTCGCTGCTCTGTGATTGCATCCCTAGCTCGCTGTGCTGCAACTGTGTTCCTAGCTTGCTGCTCCGCGATTGCATCCCTAGCTCGCTGCTCAGCGATTGTGTCCCTAGCTCTCTGCTCAGCGATAGCATCAGGAGCATGCTGCTCAACGACCTTTGTCCTAATGGCGACATATGGGTCGTTCAATGCGTGAAGATTGAGCTCGGTAGTATCGGAATGAGCGATTTCTGTAGTGCTTGGAGTAGCAAATCCGAACCTTCCACCAGGTTGCTGCGATGTAAAGCTGGGCCCTGTGTGAATGATATCCATGGCTGGGACATCTGGATGGGTATCTAGATGTGAGCTATACGGTGGAGGAACCTCCTGCAGGCAAATCAACGTAAGTAACAACATTAATTAGATGCTTACCTTTGAAGACTTCTTTCGACCTTTACGACACAGTTCTGGGGCTTGAGGATTGACTGGAATGTTGGGGCCAAGAGACGTCGTGCCCTTACATCCATAGGTTTGAGGCTTAGATTGTAGTGCTGATCCGATCTTCTCCAGCTGCATGTTCCTACCTCCAGTTCCAGCATTAGGGCAGCCAGAATGCCAGGGTGCATTGTCTCCCACTTCTGCTGCAGTGAGGCCAAGGGATACAAGAGGTACCGCGCCGGGTACTTCAGCAACGTCTGCAGCCCGAGTCTTCTTGGGCAAGCCAGCCTTTGAAGCATCAGATCCTTTGCGCTTGGACCTTTTCTTCTTGGGACTGGTGACAGTGTGAGGAGGCATGACTGCAAGAAAGAACGCAGGAGAAGGTGACTCTAACAAATTAGATCAGACTCACAAGGGTTTTATATCATGCGCATACTGTGCGATATTCACATGGCTAGCAAGAGAAAACTTCATCATTCATAAGGCCAATAGTAATAAGGAAACACACCTAAGTCATCACGAGGATTTAATATCATGTCTCGTGCTCAATATTCGCATGACTAGCGAGAAAAACTTCATCATTAGTAACAGTAACAGTACTAAAGAAACACACCATGACCTGAGCCGATGTGCAGCCATCGGGTCATCTTTGGAGGAGGAGAACTGCACATTTTTAATGTCCGAGTCCAGCCTGCGGTCCACTAGAAAATGTACTAGAAAAACACGTCAGTTAGTAGTAGTACTCTAGTAAGTGCCAGACTCAGATTGCCGATCACATGAGTCAAAATCTTATTTAATCATGTCCGGACGTCACATAGTAGTAATCCGGTGCAGAGACTAGTAATAGATCGATTGTGAGCTTGAGAGAATGATATACTAGTAGGAATAAACGAGGTGCTGGTAAGTAAGTGTTGTAAGCACATCTTGCCCCAATCTCTGAGTCACTGGCAGTAGTAGACGATCAGCGAGGTTCTAAAAATACTAAAGTCAAGCGGCATGCTATCCATACATCAATAAAGAAGAATGACAGCTGAATATGCATAATGAGTGGGTGCCCAAATTAAACGATCTTTCATACATACAAGCTCCATGTCTGGTCATGCATCACTGCCTGATGCTGAGGAGTCGGACTCGGTATCACCATGGTGAGACTTTTGCCGCTTGGGTGTTGTGGCTGCCACAGAGAAAGACTCTGAAGCAATCTGTTTGCCCTTGACACGACATGTGAGAATGACAGCATCATTCATGAGCATGTTCACAGTAGATACGAGCTCCTCATCGTCAGGAAGCTTGTCAAGATGAGAGTTGAGTACACCAAGAATGGTGTCGAAGGTGACGGGGTGGATCATGTTGTCCACCAGAACTCTACGCCACTCTATTGCAAGGGGGATCAGGGGGTTGAAGTATGGGTGAAATTCGTCTATAAGATGCTTTCCATCTGTCGGATTCGCAAAAAAAGTGATCTTGAAGGTGGCGCATGACGCCAGGTCAAGGTTGGTCCATCGATTTAGTAACGAATTGGGCGAGCATTCCTTGCGCACCATGCCATTGGGACCACAGAACTTGATGCAAACCCATGTGAACACAAACAAAAGGGACTCCAGGTCATCCGAAAAAGTTTGAAGGACGTATGATACAGGTAGCGCTTTAGAATCAGAGGACGATTTCAGGGTTTTTGGTTTTTCGACTGATTTGCGTCCCCGAGTCACTTTTTTCTCCTGAGATTCCAACTCAGCTTCCTGCTGGATGACTGAGACTTGGTTAAGAAGCCCACGTGACATAAAAGGGACTGTGCCCTGGCAAATGAATCAATAAACTGAATGTCTAATCAATACTAAGTATACTTACTGTACCACCAAGGGGATATTTATGATCTGCAGCAATGCGAACCGCAAACTCCCAGTCAATAAGAAAGCCTTCGCTGCCACTAATGTCGTCTAGGATCATCGCGTTGTTAAGACTACAATCCTGATGCAAAATCTGATGTTCCTCCACCGCAGTTTGTTGAACTAACATTAGAAAGCATCAGTTCAAGACGCCCCATGAATTACTCGATAGTACTTACTCTTAACAATATCTCTTAGTGCTCGCACAAACTCCTTAAGTGTTCGGAACATGTGAAGGGGGTGACCACATGGCTTCAAGACAAGATGCACATGAGTGCGACTAGTGCCCTGGGTGCTCCGGCGTTCCTTTTTCCGATATTTTTTGGTAACGTCAGGCGTGCCATCTGACCATTCAACGATCCAATAATCTACCAGCTTTGGAACGCCAGGGACACCATCCATCAACTCCAGCATCTTGATCTCGTTCAGGACTACCCGATCGTTCTTACCCACAACCCAATGGTCTTTGATGATATAGTCTTCATCGTCTAAGGTGACTAAGTAGCAAACGGTGCCACGACCAACAAGGCCCCAGCTTGCAAAAAGAATTCTCTTTATGGTGTAGATTGTCTGCCCTACGCGGATCTTGCCGCAGGGTTCAGGTGATTGAGTAGAATAGGGGAATTGGGAAGGGAGAGGGGTAACAGAATAGATGCTCTCGGTCATCTCAGCCTGGGGTACTTGGGATGCGAGGCTAACAAGGGGAGCACTGTGGGTTGCAGTGGGGTGCACTGGGGGGGGAGGGGCAGGGAAGTACCCTTCGTCCATCGAGTCATGTGTGGGAGAGCCGCTCGGATTCCCTTGCATTGAGTCATGAGTAGAGTCATTAGAAGACTCATCAGAGTTATCGGAGATTGACGATTCAAGAGCATCGCTGGACACTCCATCGGGATCCTCGGGAAATGAAAGAGAATCGGAGGTGGATGCAGCAACAGCATTATCTGTCGTAGTACGTCGGGCAGAAGCATTTTTGATGGGACGATAGACACAGATATCTTTGCTTCGGGGTGCTGCAACAGTCCTCGAGAAGGAAACAGTGGGATCATAGCCGACACACTCCAGACTCCCAAAAGTAATAGCCGCAATGATATGCGAGAATATGTCAGGCTGTGTGTAGATATCGAAGCGAGGGGACACAGCACCACCAGAGTGATCATACATCAAGACTCTTAGGTGGCGATATTCATCTGTGAATGATAATATGAGAGCAAAGTGCCTCCAGGGCTGCTCACTCATCATAAGGTAGGCATGGGTATCTGCAGCCTTCCCAAGTCACATCGCAGGCCGGTAGCGACTGTGTGTGAGTTCAGCTGGAACTCTGATGTTTCCCCACTTTGCTGATATGTCGTCGGATAGAACAATATCTGGCTTGCGCTTGATGTCACTGCTGGGCAATGACTTATGTGCATTGGCCGCACTCCATGAGCTAGTTGCAAAGCACATGGCTACTAGTTTGGGCTGTGATGCCGCCAAGCAGCCAACCAGAGCATTGAGAAATGCTGCAAAAATTTCTTTGTGGGTTGCTTCCTGTGGATTGTTGCTCTCTGACAACTCGACCTGACCCAGAAGGCTGCTATCATCATCTCCAGGTGGGTCGACTGGAAGAGCCCAATTCCAAGTCTTCGCTTCAGTGTTGTACCGTGGCACTAGGGTATCTGGTGATGTCTCGCTGAATTTCTCATTGATGCGATTGTTGCGATGAATGATTTTTCCGAAAGGTATTTTAAGGTGGCATACATTGGGAAGAGGTTCTGTGAAAGGCTGGAATATTTCAGAAAGTAGGTGTCCAAGCGGTTGTGAGGCCTCTGGTGAACCCTCGTGAGTGACTAGACAATTAAGCTTGTCAGACGTGATCTTGTTCATAGTGTGAATGTCGGTGACTTCTGGGATAGACACCAATGACGATAATTTGATTCCGTTGTCAACGGTCCTGAAAAAGAATGACATTTTTTGTACTTGAACAATGGACAAACGATGGGCGCTCGAGCTTATCACCACATAGTGACAGAATTCTCAGAACTAGTGATCTAAGAATAAAACAGACTAGAATAACCAAAGGCTAGACCGCTCAACCAATCCGTTCATTGCATAGTATGAAAGTTGTAAGAAACAAGGTAACCCCACATCAAAAGCTACATAGAAAGAGGAAGATACGTGTTCTTGTCCCAATACTTGTTGAGCCAAAATTGTGAAGCATGCTCCATGCTGTTATACGGGGTGAGACAGTTGTCTGCACTTGCACCGAAGTGAGGGACAAGGTTCACAGGTGATCTAAGCTGCGTCACAGGTATGATGTCACCCACCCAAGTACCATTTGAGCATTTTGCTCGTTTGAGCAAGTGGAGCTGTGTACTTGGCTCACGATCATGGGTGCCGGAGCTTTGAGGAACAATGTCAAAGTGATGCACGTATACCAGAAAACGGTCCTTCCATGACCAATTCGTGCCACTCTTTCCAATAGGACACATGATAAGCCTGATTTGACCGATAGTATGACCTGTGACTTGACAATAAGTAAATATTCAGCGCAACATGAGAGCATAATGTACCACAAAGACCACTTGTGGGCCATAAGCATCCCGCATCATTGTTAATGATAACTGTATCATACTGGCCAGAGGTCCAGGGATCAGAAGGGGGTGCACAGTTGAGGGTTTGCACAGGCCGTATGATGTTAATGTTGTGGAATTCGGTGTCCTGCAGCCGAAGTTTAAACCAGACCTGTAGTGTGTCAAAGGGAAGTGAAGCAGCAGGTCCAGCTCTTCTAGCCCCCCCAATAGTATGGACATGATCTCTCCCATGAGTATCCTCACAACGAAGAAAATTGGCAATGGCTGGTCATAAGTCAGCAAGGTCAAACTTGATGGCAGCATCATCAACAGATATCTTTCTAATGGAGGGGTCATAAGCGAAGTGAAATCCTGTGCGTTTGACAACAAACAAACGCAATGGCATAGGGACCGTCCTGATTTCCCTGTACTGGAGGAACTTGGCGATTCCAAAGTAATTCGTGATTGGACGTGAATGTCCAGGGTATTTGATCATTGCCAGAAGGTCTATTGGGATATCGTGATTGTTGTCTGCATCGAAATCAACATTTTCATCGACATCTACATCTGAACTGTGCTGCTTTGAGTCTGGCATATTGTTGAGCAGACTCATAGCAAGGTCAAAGTGGCGGCATTTATCAGCATGGTCAAGATGGAGACATATTTGGGGATCATAGTTGTTGTTATTGCTTGAGCGAGCAGGATCTTTGATTTCCGTTATGTGCGCATGCTCCGTGGTGTCAGCAGTCCATTGCAGAGGAACTCCAGTATTCCTTATGCTTGGAACTATCGACTGCATGAGCTCTAGCTTCGGTATGTACCAGTTCTCAATGACTCCGCCATGCTGACCACAATGAAATCCACCCTCGATAATTGCATCTTTGTTGCAGTGAAATTCTTCAAGGGCCATGGAAATCTGAGTGAGTAGGGTGTCGTCAATTACGGGTGATTGTACGAGGTACCAAAAGTCCATCAGAGCTCGTATGGCAGTCATCACAGTGTTAGAAACTGCGTCTGCGCTGACTGCAATGATCGAGTGCTGGATGTCGTGTTGAGTGCGTCCTGTAACCTGTTTAAGCTTTGAAATTCCGCCATGAAAATGACGGAACCCGGTGATCGCCTGCAAGACAGAAAACTGAAAATCAATCTCTGTATGCCCGACTGCACAAATGAGCCACTTCACATTGTGGTCGTAGAACTCGCGATGAATGAGGTGAAGAAATTTGGGAGTTAGAAAATGCGATGGATCACTGAGGAGCCAGTCCAGCCAGAATGGTGCATTCACACCATTCAAACGAAACTTCTGTGCTTCGCGAAAAACACCTCAATGTCGTTGGGATCAGCTTTACTCCATGCAATGTCCAGCTGGGAGAGTGTAGTTGCTCCTGTGCGAGGCTGATGACGAAAGGGGTTCTCCAAACTGTTTGTACATGGCTGTAGTGACTGGGGAGGTTTTCCTGCCAACAGCGGCCAGCATCATGGCCTCCGGGGTGTCAACAATATAGCTTGCGAGCAGTGTAAAGCAATGGCAACTGTGCCCAACAGGGTCTGAAAGCATGATCCCTTCATGAGCTGCCAACTTGAGTGGACGTAGAACGATATCCAAGCATTCATGAATGAGGCGATCTTCAAGTACGCCTAGCATGCATTTGTTCTTATGGATGAATTTTGGGACAGGAAGTAGAGCGGTGAGTACAAAGGCATTCGAAGATGACTTGAGTCGCGTGGACATGCATATGTTAGCAAGACTAACTAGAAGGGGGTGTGCAACTCTGTCGTCCGTCATGGTCGATATATTCATCTTGTCAAAAGATAAAATGGTCCCAAGCAGTGTTGCACCTCTTGGTAGGGCTGACTGTCCAAAAACAGATAAGTATAATGACTTGCACAAATGAAATGATACATACCTGCATATTCCACACGTCATCGCTGGTCATCCATTCCAAATATACATGGCACAGCCGCTGCGCAGTGGTATACACCCTGCGAGGTGTAAAGTCTAGCTCATCATGAAAGGCAGGGTGGTTGAGAAGACTTGAAACACAATCTAAGGGATCACGCCAATACAAGACAACAGGCGATTTCATGGGATGCATTGTAGGTATTGTTTGAGACATCCAGCATAGACCACTGGGTAACATTTCCGCTCTTCCGCGTAGTTCCTTGGCCAAACTGAACGACAACAGAAGGGTCTTTATCTGAACGAGACACTTTCAAAAATTATATATTATCGAAGAATTTATTACTACTCACCATCTCGAGCGAAAGGAAACTATCTATCTTCCCCATGCTTAACCCTGAGCGAAGCAACCATGACCCAACCTCCCAGTCTCTCTGGCCACTGAAAGGATAATATGGATTCGTAACATGGTGTTTGCTGTTCTCGTCCGTATTGAATAAGTCCAGGAACGTGTAGCCCCTGCCGTATGATTGTGCACAGTCAGGATATGAGTCCATAACTTCCGAATTGCGAGTTGGTGTTCGCTCGTCATGAACCTGGTCCTCCATTCTACTCCCTTGGAACACCTCATCCCAATTTTCAAAACCACCGGACTCCATGTCAGAATTATTTACTCTGTCGTCTGACTCGTCCATATTCACGGGATTATTCAGTTCATCCAAGCATATCAGATTCTGCAGCCAAGTATTGCAGCCAGAGCGAGGTTGGCTCATATGTTGAGCGACAGCAACATGGTCCTTGAAACCGCCCTTGCCGCACGAAGGACATTCTAGAAGTTGGAGTGATGACATAGTATTGATGTGCGTGTAAGATTCTGAGTTCAAAGTAAGCTATGATATCCGGAATCAATAAGCCATATTAGTTTTTCCAACACACTCATGTCTGAGTCAAGCCACACACCAATTCATCTAAACATTTCCAGTGAAGTACCATCAGCGTCACATATGTGCCCGCGATACTCCAACAAGAGGCAATCAAGCTGAACTCTGGGTGACCCTGGCAGTGGTGGTATCACTGACTTGTATGATGTCGTTGATGCTATTGGGTTAATGGTAAGTGACTGATATGCGAGTCTTACAATGCTTGTTAATGTGCATACAGACCATCGATGATGTTGACAACCTTGAAGCAAACCTCATCATGGACCTCGCAAGGGCCCGACGCGATGTATTTGTAGCAGGGAAAACACTTGCGGATTGTGTTGTCCAAGAACACGAGGTCATGACCAATCTTTCGAAATATAAGTCCGCCATTTCTAAGCAGAAGCTTGACAAGGCAGATGTAGGACTAGGTCATATGTGCATCACATTCAAAAAACATGGACTTTCTCACTGCTCAATGCCACCCGGTTTCCATGGTAAGTGCGCCTTCGTGTACACAGCACTACTGCCTAACACTTGTATCGTAGACTCATTCACCGCATCTCAGTGCCATGTAACCATACAGTTGGACTAATGTTGAGTATCTTATGTTGTATCAAATAGCTTGTATTTCGCGGTACTGGTAATATAGTAAATATGGATATAAAATTCTGCTTCATGCGCTTGACTTGGTGGATGCTTCAAATTGTGTGACTTTAAATTTTAATTCTAAGTACTTTGAGGATTACGAGTTGAAGTAATACTTAGGCCTAGTAGCGCTCATGACTACTAGTAACTATAATAGTATCTTACTGACAGACACTGTGAGGCTGTATGTCCTGTGAGCGCTGTGCCTCTGTGGGGAACTGTGGGGAACTGCAGAAAAGTGTTGATACCTGGGAGAAATTTGCTGTGAGTGCTGTGCCTCTGTGGGTGACTGTGAGAACTGTCGAAAATGTTGATGTCTGTGGAGAAATTTGTAGTTTACTGATGAAGTGTTCTGTCTGTTTCAAGTTTGGAACAACGAACGAAGGACAAGACTGCACTAACATTGTATTTCCTGAGTTGTTACTGTAATAATGTTCTAAATGTCAAACTAACATTATGAGGCCACAATCTCATGACATGCAAGCAAAACATCATATTATTTTTGTTGAGAACAAACATTCGTCATGTGATTAGCAAGTACTATGCATGTATTACAAAAAATTAATATTGGGCAAGACAGAATTAGCAAGATATATGAATCGGCGGAATATGTTAGATGCATTACACCTTTGCCTTCCTGTTTCATCACATTGAGTCAAATTAAGAATGGACGTTCAATATCAATGACTTACTTGGATCCATGACCTGAAGACGTCTCAGCAAGGGCTCGGGGGTGCTTGTTTTCCTCACGAGGACAACCAATCACATTTGCAGTGTCATTGTGTGTCGATGGCTTTGGGATGCGCTTGGTTCTGCGTGTTTCAAGCGCCGGCCCATCTTTATCAGTATTGACGTCTAACTCATCAAGACACTCATTGCCTAAGGTAGGCGCCACGTCCAACGAATGAGTTGTTGAAGCAGGAGGAAGCTCACTGGTACTAGGTGTCTCAGTCCATTGAGAAGTGTGAGAGATGGCGGACAGTATGCTCAAGCCAGTATCTGGAGGTGAAGTGGTACCAGGAGGTGATGCGGGTGTGGGCAGAAATGTGGACATGGTAAGAGCTAGTTGAGGAGTGCGAGAGACGGCAGACAGTACATTCAAGCTAGTATCTGGCAGAAGTGTAGGCATAGTAAGAGCCCATTGAGGACTGTGAGAGATGGCGGGCGGTATACTCAAGCTAGTATCTGGAGGGGGAGTGGAAGTACCAGGAGGTGATGCGAGTGGAAGTGTGGGCATGGTAAGAGTAGTGATTTTGGATGCGCCTGCCAGTGGTCCCAATCCCATCTGAACATCCAAATTGGAGAGAAATACATCCAAGTCTGGAGTCGTCCAGTCATCACCATATGAAGGTGTCATTGTGAGTGGTTCTGGAAGGATGGGTGTTTGTAAGAACTGATCGAGGGACCTGTTGGGCTCATGTGGCACTGATTGCACATCAAACCATAATGATGCATCCCCAGTGGACAAGGGATCAGGAATGCTACCGCTGGTACCTGACAATGATACATCAGTCATGGATAAGTAAGTGATGACACTACCGGTACCTGATTCTGATACATCCCAAAAGGACAGAAGCTTGCTATCCGACCCATATATATCTAAGTCATTGGAATCCAAAGTCAACAAGCCACCGGTTTCACTGCTGCTTTCTTGTGGCCTCGATATACTAGCCTCTGCTGTTGAAAGTCTAGTCAGTTCAAAGAATTTGATTAAGATGGCTCTATAACTGATGGTGTACTCGATGCAGAAAGTCTCAAAAGGACTCCATGACACCTCTGTCAAACTCAGGGTACGCTGTGCTGAAGTTGTTGCCTAGCTTGGTTTGACCGACATGAAAACTGGACAGGTAAGATATGACTTCAATTTTTTTTGTAAATGCAAGCTCACCTATAGACGTCAATTGCTCCATGTGCCTTGGGAGATGGACCCCCAGCAAGGAGGGAGAACAACATCCCGGTTACCTCCGTCAGCCCTTTCAGGAATGAGTTAGCGACCACTGCAAGTTTGTTGAGGTTGCTGTTGGAAGTGGAGGTAGGCTGGTGATATGGTGCATTGAACGTAATTATGAGTCAATCAGATTTGAGCTCACCGTGAGTAATCAGTCATTTGACTCCATCCTTCTAGCTTATTTTGGAGTCTCTGCTGCTTCTGGTCTTCAAGATACTGCTTCACTTGGTCCTTGATATCAGGTGACTCCTGCGCATACAACACTGCAGTCTCCTTTACAAGAGCGACACGTTCACCATTGGTGAGTGTCCTGTGTTCCTGAATGGCTTTCAGGGATCCTTGAATGGTTGGCTGAACACAAGTCACATAGAAAAGTTTTGAATATGCCTCCTGTTCCTGGAGCATACACATGGGCTTTTCATACTCAGCAATACTTCGAACCACGGCATTGATCACGCTCGTAGTATCTGCCTTTGCCTTTCTGCCCATTTTTGAGCCTCCCAGGCTATTTTTGAATTGAGTACATAATTTCTGTCGTATGTATTAGTTAAAACATGATTCGTAGCCTAATGGGTCAATACTCACTGCTTTACATGTGTCACGAGCCACGCCAATCTCGCCTTCCTCCGATAACGTCAGGGGTCCTACCTGTGTGATATGAACCAGTCTTGGTTCTGGAAACTCTTCAAACCATTGTTTTCTGAGGTTGGCAAAGAAGTTCTTATAATTCTTGTTTTTTTTGCTCTGCTTTGCCTTGGATTTTTTGTACCAAGGTTGTAACCATGCCTCTTGTTCGACCAATGTCCACTTAGGAGGGGCCATGGTATTTATGTTCTGTTTTATAATCAGTGACATTCACATATGACATGTTTCACGTACACAAAACTGACTTTATATGTTTTGCCGGGGCAACCGAAATGAAATTCTACCAAAGAGGCTAATGTTATTTGCAGTGTGCCATCATTTAATTATCTCACGCACAGATCAGATTCAACATTGTGGGTTGATTGCACCACACGGCCACAGGACCCAGACCCTATTGGACACAGTACATCGTATCGACTACAAGGTGCAAAAAAATATGTTACATGAGTACAATTGAAGTCACAATAGTTGTAAATCAAATTCTGATCCCTTTCTGATACATCATCTCCCCCATTGAGTGAGCGACTGTGAGCTCACAAATTCCTCCAGAAAACAACAGACACTGAATGTCCTCTAGATATGCAAGCACAGTCCTTAAGAAATGGGTGACTGTGTCAGCGGCATGCCACTGAGGCAAGACTCCACAGAAATTCAGGATTTGATCTTGTGCGGCAATGGCCCGGTTGAGTATGTCTTGGACTTTAGTGAATGAGGTTTCAATGATAGAAATATCACCAGGGGAGGAGTCTTCAGGAAAACTCTTCACATAGTTGCATAGAACTCCCTCGACAAATTTGCATAGGTCATCGCCGATCAGTTCCAACATTTCGTCCTTGATGTCTGATAGCGCATAAACATTCCAGAAGATCATATCTATTGAAATTGAGTTTGATATTTCATTTCATATCTATTTATAAAAATATGAACATATGGCTTGTTACTTTCATCATCATCTGACTCCAAGTCAGACTTGGACTTGGACTCATCTTCAACTCTGCAATGCAAAAGTTTTGCGACAGCCTTTGAGAGATCTTTAGTAATTTTGTTTGCTGCCTTTGATTCCTTTGTTTTAGAACTGCGGAGCTCTCTCTGTCTCTTCAAGATATCATCTCTGTTTCTTGAGTGTGTTGACTGGTCAGGAACGAATGGAAACAATTAATGTACATATGACACACTTCACATAATGACGGCGGCGCCTTTCACGTGCAGCTTGTAGCTTCATGTCGGATGTTTTATAAGTGACAGGATGGGCCATTTTGACTTTGTTTTGACTGGTAGAGAGGTTTGGTCAATGGTAGGACAGTATAGTATTGAAGAGAAGAGAAGAATCCTCCTTGAGTGTGGCAAATTGATTGCGATACGGTCAGATAAAAACTCACTCACTAGATTATTGTATTTTAATTAGCCAAACCTAGGATAATGCTAAGCTAGGCTGGTCAGATTGAGTATTGAATCAAAGCCTGTCTCACATCAGCCATGGTAAATGTGACAGCCTTACTTATCATTACACTGAATCAGTTCCTCTCTAGCAGTCGGACGAAAACACACATGCTAGTGGATCACAATGCTTTAGCCTTTCCCTCTATCACTTCATCCTTAACATAATTTTACAGTTGTTCTCAACCATCCTGACATCATCTGATGCATATTAATGTACACATTTCAAACATTGTACATTATCCAGCATTGTCAGGTTCATCTACTCACTGTTTTATAGTATCACTAGCTCAATATCATTGTCAGCAGTCGATCGGCAGAAGTCGGAACTCAGTGAGGGCCACACATGTTGTGCATGTTGTTGTGCATGTTGTTGTGTTGGCTGTCACTGTTTTCCCATCTACTCACCATCTTGTTAATCTCAGCTCTGGAGTGCAACCATCCCTCTCAGTTATGACAACTGGAGGTCACCCATCCAAATGTCCCAAACTTATCCAACATCCCCATCGCGAAGCTGTTGACCAGACCAGCACCAGGCATCATGACTTCAGCCTGCAAGCAAATGGCAAGTTTAGTCTTCGGACATCTTACCTGTCTACTCCCAATCCTGCCATGATAGAAGGCAAGGAAGTGCCATCTCAACATGTGCCTAGCATGAACCCATGGAACGAGACTCTGTTCAGCCAGGAAATAGACACTTTGGAGTCCCATTTTGATGGGTCAATTTGAGCACAGTGCTGGAGAACACCAGGAGTAAGTCCTCTGTTTCTTCTGTTTCAGTACTATTTTTGAGCATCCCTATAGGATGATCCTATTGCCCTATGGCTGCCAGAATGTGAAGCATACCTAGATGAACTTATCTTTTTGGAAGGGCACGGCAAGAGTGCTGGTCAATCGTGCTCATGTGGAGCACTTTCTGTCTCATTCAGATGTCACGACTGTCTGTCCCCTCTGGTATCTTGTTATGAATGCATCTTGCAATCGCACCTCAATATGCCATTTCATAGGATTCAGGTTGAGTAATTACCATCTGTACTGTACCTGTGTTCTGACTTGTTGCCCTTAGGAATGGAAGGATGGTTTTTTTCACACTGTCACCCTCAAATCCTTAGGCTTCTGGATCCAGCTTGGTCACAGGCCAGGAGAAAAATGTCGTCATCCAAAGTCAGCCTTTGACGATGACTTTATCATCATCAACACTCACGGCATTCATGAAGTCAGCCTAGACTTCTGCAGCTGCAAACATGAAGCTTCTCACTACAAGCAGTTATGTACTTTGGGCACGTTTGTTCCCCACAACAGCCACCAATCCTAGGACTGCTGCAACATTTGGTGTCTTGAAATTCTTTCACTTGCTCTCATTCGAGTCGAAAGTATCAGCCTATGAATTTTATCATAGTTTGGCATGCCAGCATGACAATACTGGTATTATGCCAATATGAGTAAGTCTCCTTTTCTTTCCTGGAGCTATACTAATACATTGTCTAGGATCGCTACTCTACCTTTCTTAAAATCATGCACAAATGGAGAAACCTTAGGTCACTAAAGTGTGCTGGATGTGGTCATGATCCTGCAGGTGTTGGTGCAACTCAAGAGGGAGAACTTGTTCTGCTATGCCCAGCATGTCTGCACCCTGGTAAAAATTTACCGGATGGGTGGGAAACATCAAATCAACAGTGAGTCAAGTCTATTACCTGTAGTAGAATACATGCTAACATATATCAGATGGATTTATAGTGTTTTTCTTGCAATTGATGCGAACTTTTGTCTTAAGCACCGAGCAATCTCCACCAACAGCAAAGACCCAGGTCTCAGTAATGGATGGGGCTACTTCATTGATGAGAGGCGTTACAAGGACTATCTAGTTAACAGTTCAGCTGTCATTCAAGAGGTATGTGCTCTGAACCATGACTGTGCCCACAACCTCACTATTGACAGAGGAGCACTTGTGTGAGCCATAATGCTGTCAACATGGCAGATACAAAATCATCAAAAGGATTTGCTGCTACAGGCATTGGTACAGTTGACTATGCCTGCTATGGCATGAAGTTGGCGAATGGTGAAGGAGATCTACAGAACACATATTACAGTGACCTATCTCCGTATAATATGAGGGAACGGATGTGCATAATATCCCATATGATATGGGCCAGCAGACCATGGGCCCATGATAAAAATATCCTCGACTATGACGGATGGGCTGGGAGGCAAATTATTCCTGATGGAGGCGGGTGGGCCCATGCAGGGGATATATAGAGTAGATGAGTGGGCCGACGTACATGAATATTAGGTAGACGGGTGGGCCGAGGTAGTTGGATATTATGCAGATGGGTGTATTAAGGTAGATGTGTATGAGATAGATGGGTAGGTACTTGTTATCACATTCATGGGTGGGCCCAGACACATATTAAATTAGACGGGTGGGCCGAGGGTATTATAAAATATTGTATTAGATGGGTGGGCCCAGACACATATCAATTAGATGAGTGGGCTGAAGGTGTTGTATGGGATGTTGTATTAGACGGGTGGGCCGAGGGTGGTATAAAATATAGATGGGTGGGCCCATGTGTATCATAATTGTAGACATGATGGAGCTGAGGTAGTTGTACATCAACCAAATCAGAGGAGGTAATAAAATCAAAGTTACTAAGTTCCTGGAGCAGCAGGTGATCTCCTGACATGGCCTTTGATGGTGCACAGGTTGTCTTGCAAAATTTGGAATCCAGGGTGCGAAGCTTGTGTTGCCCTATGAGAAGCCAAGTTCCGATTACCAACCTTTGGGTCAACTGTACTCAGAGGAGGTAATAAATCAAAGTTCCTGAGTTCCCGGAGCAGCTGGTGATCTCCTGACATGGCCTTTGATGGTGCACAGGTTGTCTTGCAGAATTTGGAATCCAGGGTGTGAAGCTTGTGTTGCCCTATGAGACACCAAGTTCCGACCACCCAAATTTGGGTCAACCATACCGACTTCCGAGTTCCAGGACCCGGGAGTCAACAAATGAATATCTGATAATCAGCACACTTCCAATCAGGTAGTATTTCATTGAGCAATGAATCATCCAAGGGGTCTCTTATCAGACTCGGTAGTCAATATAGGCAAATGATAATGAAAACATGAAAGTTGTTATTATGCTATTTTGAAAACCCGATGTAGAGAATTATGCCTCTCATGGCGTGATATGGTGCTTTACACTAGGAAGTACATAGCACGAACTTGTAGCGTCACTCTGTGCACTACCCACAGCTATCTCTATATGACACGCAGCTTTCCCGCGCAACGCGCGCCATGCGCGCACCATTCCCGCCCTTCGCGATGTATACGCGCGCGCGCGTTCCCGCGCTTGCGCGCCCTATGGCGCCAGCCATCCAGAAGCATCCATCCACTGTCCACCAAGCTCCCTAGTGCGTATATTTCCATTTCCTTTATTAGCATAGTTCCACCTTTATTTTTATCATGCATTCTCACTCATATATATATTTACATACCTACTCGGTAGCGCTTCGGCTCCGCTTGACCGCGCTTAGGCGCGCTATATAAGCGCCAGCAGTACATACTATTACTTACCTACTTTTCCTACTTTTCACTTACTAGTTACTACCCACTTACTACTTAGCAGAATATAGTAGAAAGCTATTCCTTTACATTTTGCACTCTTATATCTCTTATCTTGCTTTATATCACTACTTAAGCTTAGTTTCTCATTTCCGCATACGCGCGCGCACTTTCCCACGCTTCGCGCTAATACGCGCGCGCGTTCCCGCGCCTTTGTACCTTGCGCGCTCCTGCGCTTTCTCACGCTTCGCTTAAGCGCACACTTCTAGATCCTTGCTGCACTCACTTCCCCTATAGGGTCGAACGCACTTGCTTCTCAAGTAACGCAGACTAGGCAGCGCGCGACCTTACAACTTTTACAGATACAGTCAGGAGCTTCTTTTGTTCCTCATTGTATTGTTGTTTCTACACCGAGACCCTGAAACCCATCGTTCAACATGTCCATTTTTCACCCACTGCACAAATCACTGAGTTTCGAGTGCCAAAACCCAAAACTCAAAACCCAGTGTGCAACACATTGATTGTTCATTTACATTACACAGATCATCGAGTTCCGAGTGCTGAGTGCTGAAACCCAAAGCTCAAAACCCGAAAATATGTATGGAACATGTCCATTTCTTACTCATTGCACATATCACTGAGTTCGAGTGCCGAAACCCGAAACTTGAAACTCGAAACCCAGTGTGCATCATGTCCATTGTTCAATTATATTACACAAGTCATCAAGTTCCGAGTTCCGAGTGCTGAAACCCGAAGCCCGAGACCCGAAAATATGTGCACAACATGTCCATTTTTCCCTCGCTGCACAAATCACCGAGTTTCAAGTGCCAAAGTGTGAAACTGGAAACCCAGTGTGCAACATGTTGATTTTTCATTTATATCACACACATAACCAAGTGCCAAGTTCCAAGTGCTGAAACCTGAACCCCGAGACCTGAAAATATGTATGCAACATTTCCATTTTTCACTTGTTGCACAAATCACTGAGTTTCAAGTGCCGAAACCCGAAACTCAAAACCAGGTGTGCAACATGTTCATTGTTCATGTACATTACACAGATCATTGAGTTCCGAGTTCCGAGTGCCAAAACCTGAGGCCCAAAAATATGTACACAACATGTCCATTTTTTACTCACTGCACAAATCACTGAGTTTCAAGTGCCAAAGCGTGAAACTGGAAACCTGGTGTGCAACATGTTGATTTTTCATTTACATCACACAAATCATTGAGTTATGAGTGCCGAGGTCTGAGACCCATACCCCGAACCCTGAAAATATGTGCACAACATGTCCATTTTTTACTTGTTGCACAAATCACTGAGTTTCAAGTGCCAAAACCAAAAACTCGAAACCCGGCATGCAGCATGTTGATTTTTCATTTATATTACACAGATCATCGAGTTCCGAGCTCCGAGGGCCGAAATCCGAACCCCGAGACCCGAAAATATGTACACAACATGTCCATTTTTCACTCATTGCACAAATCACCGAGTTTTGAGTGCCAAAACCCAAAACTTGAAACCCGGCGTGCAACATGTTGATTTTTCATTTACATCACACAAATCATTGAGTTACAAGTGCCGAGGTCCAAGACCCGAACCCCGAAAATCTGTGCACAACATGTCCATTTTTTACTTGTTGCACAAATCACAGAGTTTTGAGTGCTGAAACCTGAAACTCAAAACCCGGCATGCAACATGTCCATTTTTCATTTATATTACACAAATCATCAAGTTCCGAGTGCCGAGGGCCGAAAACTGAACCCCGAGACCCGAAAATATGTATGCAACATTTCCATTTTTCACTTGTTGCACAAATCACCGAGTTTCAATTGCTGAAACCTGAAATTCAAAACTGGGTGTGCAACATGTCCATTGTTCAATTATATTACACAAGTCATTGAGTTCCGAGCTCTGAGGCCCAGTGAGAAACGGTCCTAGCCATATCTCCGGAAAACGACGGAAATATTGTGACAATATTCACATCGATTTCCGGAGAAAAATGAGACTTATAGTCAATTTTTAGCGACTTGCATTGAGCGAGATATTGTATCATCGATTGTGTTTGTGTACCATAGATTCTAGTATATTCCCATAGCTCCCAATTGACTTGTGCATATGTATTTGCTCATCAACGCAAATCGACCAAAAATAATTGTATTATGAAAAATTACAAATACAATACTCTATATACCATAGCACCCCCACCCGCGCATCAGGATGACGTAGTCCACTAGCTTCTGGCACATGGGAGTCCTTGACCGAAACAAATCATTGTCAGAATATACTTGCCAGGCAAGTAGACAGTACTTACAATGATGGCAGCTGCCTCGTTCTACAGCAATAGATATCAGTTAAAGTACATTAGGTAGCTTTTAATGGAACTCACCAATTGACTGTCTTGTAACGGTGTATCTGTTGAAGCCGCTGGATGTGTCGATCATCGGGACAATGGTATTGAGCTAGCGATGATGTAAAACAGTCAGTGAATGAACCTGACAATGCCAAATAACTCACAATGTTCAAAATATGTGCATATATGCACCGTGAATAGTGCTTACTTGTCACAAGAACGGCCGACGGTCGAGTGGGTGGGATCAGCAAATGAATTGAGCCATGAAAAAGCCTAATACTTATCTTGTTAGTGGCCATGAGAAAGTTATGTGTCAGATGATGCCAGGATGGTTGAGGTCAACGGCAAGGTTTTGCTGAGAGGAAGACGAGATGATGGAGGGGAAGAAGAAAGCTGAGATGAAGCGAGTAGGGATGGAATGTCCCAATATTGGTCCGCTGCATATTGACATCATTGCGTGAAGTGATGGTGCGTGCGCAGCTGATGCGCAAGAATGTTCAAACATTGAAATATTGAGCAAAGTCAAGTCAAAGTTGAAAGAATTTCAACATGTTCAACATTTACTGAGCGCATTGTCAAATGTGTATTTGAAACCCATTTGATAATTGATCGAGCGTTGTTGACATATTGTTTACATTTATCGATTTGCGTAGTTATTACAATATTCCTGGCATATATTTTATATCATCGTCATTTGCCGTAGATATCGCTAGGACCGATTTTCACTGGGTCTGAGGGCCAAAACCCGAACCCCGAGACCTGAAAATATGTACACAACATGTCCATTTTTCACTCATTGCACAAATCACCGAGTTTTGAGTGCCAAAACCCAAAACTTGAAACCCAGCGTGCAACATGTAAATTTTTCATTTACATCACACAAATCATTGAGTTACAAGTGCCGAGGTCCGAGACTCGAACCCTGAACCCCGAAAATATGTGCACAACATGTCCATTTTTTACTTGTTGCACAAATCACTGAGTTTCAAGTGCCGAAACCCAAAACTCAAAACCCAGCATGCAACATGTCCATTGTTCAATTATATTACACAAGTCATCGAGTTCCGAGTTCCGAGGGCCGAACCCCGAACCCCGAAAATATGTGCACAACATGTCCATTTTTCACTCACTGTACAAATCACCGAGTTTTGAGTGCTGAAACCCAAAACTCGAAACCCAGCATGCAACATGTTGATTTTTCATTTACATTACTCAAATCATCGAGTTCTGAGTGCTGAGGAGCGAGACCCAAAGCCCGAAACCCAAAATCATATACACAACATGTCCATTTTTCACTCATTTCACAAATCACCAAGTGTCGAGTGTCAAAACCTGAAACCCGGTACTTCAAA